AAACAAAACATAGAAGTTAGTGTCCTGTTGAGCCACACAATGCAATGTCTCTGTAAACGGACTTGAACTAAGCCAGCAAGGATTAATGTAGTACTGTAGGTGGCGACGGTATAGACACAAGCAGAAAGCATAATCTGGTCAGCTCTGTGAGCAAAGCAAAACTCTAATAGGATTGAGAACAATCTTTCAGCCACTCGTACGCATTATATCAGAAATCTCTTGGAAGAACGGGTGAGTGGGTGCGGGCGGCTCTCGCTTACCTATTGATGAAACCATATCCATTCCTGACGTTGAACCATTTGACGGTACCCAAGACTTTTGTTGCTGCAAGGAAATTAAAACAACCTAGATTATTCGACAGCCTGGGCTTCTTCTGGCACCGAGTTAAAATACATCTGCTACTCATTGAGTCCAATTAAAACAGTTTGATAACAGGTGACTGACTTATGAACAAACCTAACCAAGGCCATGCATTATGTGAATGTTATATTTAACTCCCAACTGCCATTCTTATTATAGACCTGGATGCTTGGGAATGCCCGGCACCAGCTGCTCTTGGTGTGAGGCATGAGCCCAAGTTTGTAGAGGGAGAACCCAACATGTGTTCATTTAAGGATTTAATGTTGTACACACCTTAGTTATGGGCTGTTTAGTGAAGCATGTCGGTGACAGACAAATAATACCAATAGCCATGATCGCTAAAGTGTTGACCAGTGTTACACAAGAGTAGCCCTGTTTCAAGAAGCAGGATATCTACTTTCACTTCTCTTACCCCCCCCCCCCCCACAGTTAACATTTTATATACCCAGATCTTTACCACTAAAATGGACCTTTAAGAATCATTTATTTTTTTTTTAATCAAAAATAGATTTTTGACCTCCCCTCCCAGCTCCTTACAAAAATAAGACTGATAACTCACCTTCAAATGTTACTGATTTAGTCTAATCTCTTGTCTATTTTCAATTTATGGGCTAAGGAGGACCATATATGGAATATACAGACTTATTTGTGTGTTTAATGGTGTCTAATAAAATATATTCAAAATGGCCCCAGAACATTTTCTATTGAGTCAAGTATGTACTGTAAATCTTATATCTTCCTAGACATTGTTTTGGGTTTAAAAGTATCGTTAGGGTACGCTTTTATTTATTTTTGTTCTGGTCATGAAAATGATCAAATCTTTACATATATTTTACCTTTCCTTCAATTTAGTCGTGTTCACTCGCATATTATTATTTCATTTTTGCTCTGTCGTAGCTGAGCTAACGTATCCTTCTTGTTTAACCTGATCTAAACACAACCCAGGATCTGAGTGGTCACACGTGGTAGAACCGTACCCGGATGTGTTAGCATAGCAATGTAGCTGAGAGAGGCTTGAACCATGTGGCTGGAGCTGAGCCAGCAAACAGAAACCAACATAACAAGCAAGGCGACTTATATTTGGGCCGAGTTTTTATTTAACACGTAATAAAAGCGACTCGATATTTTAAACTGGTTTGAACGAAACCACCACCAAATGGCGAAATAAGTGGAAACCCACGGCGGACATTTTTTTGGGGGGTGGAGAGGGGGGCCTTTAAAGCCTGGAAGGTAGCTGGTATTAGCCGGCTAGGCTAGGGATAGCATCGTTAGCTCGGGTGATGAAGTATGTAGGCCAGACTGATAACCCAGAAAATCGACCTAAAATGACATGACCGTTGACATATATATTTATAGGCGTTAGTAAACTGCTGTTAATCTGGCATTCTGGCCAGTTGGAAGGGACAAATGTTTGTGTCGTGAATATTTTGGATAAAATAATTCAAAGTGAAACCAGCAGGCTGTTTTCGAGTGAACAAAGGGATGGTTAAGCAGCTAACATTACTAGCCTATGTAGTTGATATGAAATAATAAACACAGGTTGGTAAATTTACTTGTAATTATCTTCGACCGTTAAACTTCAACCTCCGGGCGGTTAACCCACAGAACCTAACGTCTCCAAACCGTGTTTCCGTTTCTATATAAACACGTTGGCTTTGATAACGGCTGCAAACGTTTCCTAACGACTGTCCATGTGACGGCCGACTGGATGGATGGGTCTATCGAGCGGATATCTGACGCAGGGAGGCCGACGAATGTACGGCTTAGATCCTCAAACTAAAGTAATGAAGTCTCGGACAACTGACAATCCTCTGAAAAATGTTATAACAGATATGTCAAACGGCTAATTTCAGAACTCGGAAAACATGTTCATAAAAAATAAAGCTACTGCAATGTAATTCTAAATCTCCCGATACTAATGCTTAGCTACTACACACGAAAAATATTTGACATCGCTGAAGAGAAAATAGTGAATAGGCTAATATAATGCCAACATTCTAAATAAAACAGAAAAAGTAGAAAACGGAGGTTATGTTCGTTAAATTTTTGTCAATTTTGTTCTGTACCGAGGAACTTAACGTTTATGTCCCATTAACGTTACATTTAACGGCAGTCTGTAGTGGTGACAGTGAGGATCGCCCTACTGTAACAAAATCCACGTTAGCAGCCTAGTTAGCTCAACTAGCTTTGGCAGCCTTACCGATGACCTTCTTATCCCCCGCTGAAGCTGCGGCTGCCGGGCTGGATGGGCTCTCCGCATCCGCAGCAGGCTGCGGAGGTTGTTGTTGTGTCTCGGCCTCGCTGCTCATGCTTACTACTCGTTGGTAATGGCTTCAGCCGGCGGCGGCTCTCTGCTATTTTTCCCGGTGCTAGATGGTAACCTGGGCCGGCGGTGGTGGGGGCTTACTGCCTTCGGGCTCTCAGCTTTCCTCTTTCCGCTCCCGTTGCCGATCGAACTGGGCAGAACGTGTAGATGTGCCGGGGAATGTTCACCGTGGAAGTCCCGCCCAACTCTTCCTCTGATTGGCTGGAATGTGTGACGACTAACAGAAAGTGTTTTTAATTGGCTAGTACAACTGTCATGAAAGGGTTTCCTGAAAGGAGATTATACCTGAAATTTTTCAACACTCCCTACATATACAAATCAGGTAAGGATGGCAATAAGGAAGTGTCTATCAGGTAGTTTTGCATTGTTATTTATACGTAGTACAATAATTGCCCAAACTCAAACTCTTGGGATTAAGTGAAGCTACTAACCACATTTGGAAACAGTACCAAACCAGACACAAGTAAGGAGAGAAACCATGAAGGATTTTAAAGTCCCTTTAATGAATGCCAGGATTTACCATCTAATAAACAGCCCATAAAATTAACAGCAGTGTAGCATTATGAAGCATCTAACCACAATACAGCTAAATGACTTAAACTCAGTATACACAAACTATCAAATATATCACAACCCTTGAAGTTTGCATTTTGTCACATTACCTGAAACATAAATGTATTTGACAAGGATTTTATGTGGTAGACTGACACAAATTGCTAGCAGGAGTTCTTAAATATTTCTTTCAACAACCTATTTTGTTTTTACACTCTTCTGTAAAGGCCAGATTTGTGGAATGCACTATTAATTATTGTTCTGGGGACAGATTCTTCTCACATGAGCTGTGGATATCTGCAAATTGCAGACTAACTGTGGCCTTCTTGGCCAGCCAGGTAAGGTGAATGGAAACAGTTTGAGATGTTCAAAACATTGGATTTTATTTTCCCTCAGAATTCTACTTTAACTTCTCCACCACTTTTTATCCCCTAACCTTTATAGTGTACCCCTTGGTCTTCATGTTAATGTTTAATCTCTGATGTTCTCTTAAAACATTTTTAAGCCTTAACAGGACAAGCTATAATTAAACTAACTCATATTTGGAGTACAATTTCAAATTAAATGACATCTAAAAGCAGTTGGTTGCACTTAGGTTACATTTTGGAGCATGCGAGTAAAAACGGACAGACTGCTGTGTCTGCAGACCTCTCCGATTTCTTTCTAAAGAATTGTAGACACTTTTCAAATTAAACAGCTAACTAATGTGTGCTACTTTGTGTGTGGCTTCCACATAAAGTACATTGAAGTGCTTGTAACATGACAAAATGTGTAAACGTCCAAAGGGTTGCGAATACTCTTGCATGACACCGTAGCCACATTCATTCATTCATTAACAGACAGGTGTTGCTCAAGATTTCCAATCTATAAATTTAGTCTGCAGAACATATTCAGCCTAAGCTGAATTTTTGTACGCCGCTTTTAACGTGTGTTGTGCTTTCTTAAATCTGTGGTAGTGAAGTCTTTGACACCAATAAAGTTCCTAACAGAGAAATGGAGTATCTATCATAAGAGAAAGACATCGCAAAAGTAACCAAAAGTTGACATAAGCCGGTGTTGGTAGAACGCCACATGACTTAATTTTTTTCACTCAAAACAGTCAGTATAATTGATAAAAGTCAGCCATCTTGTGTGAGTTGAGAAAACTTCCCTTTTCTCTAGCAAGAGTGAACAGCCAATAGTACCCGCTTATCCTCCCGCCCCTTCACAAACATTGTCATGGTAATTAAAGCTCCACTGGCATCATTTACAAGCAAAGGCCGACGTGTGAAGCTCTGCTGTTAACTGCAGAGCTCCGCTCTCCCACACACAAAAATGAGCCTCAGAAAGCCTCCCCATGGAGAAAACCTCCTTTCAAAAAAAAAAAGAAGAAGAAAACCCTCTTCCTGCCTCCATAAGAAGAGAGTCTCCATCTGAAAGGATCCTTTTGTCCCAAGAGAATGATGTTCAAGGGGAGTATGGGGGAGGGGGGCTCGGAGCTTGGATTTGGCTGGGATAGAAGGGGTAGCCATAAGTTCAACAGAGGATCGCTTGGCACTGGAGAGTGTGCTCTAATTTGCTCCATGGATAAGACTGACATTAATCTCTGCATCTCCTCAGAGTACAACTTTACACCTCTGTGCGTTTCCATGCAGATACATATCACCCAAACACCGAGATCAAGTTCATAATCCACCCGGGGAAGTTTTTATATTCCGATGAATTGGAGACGTGAAAGAAAAACCTGAGTATTTATCGCTTGACAACACAGTCTTAGCCCCACCTGTTTTGCATGAGCTTTATTTTAATATTGTCTAAAGCTACTTATGAGCATTACATACTTCAAACGGAAACTATGTTGGTTTAAGCGTTATTTGGTCTAAAGATGTGGAAAAAGAAAGAAAATAAACCAGACAGAACATCTAAATTAGAAAAGTACAATTTATTGCATTTTTTTGTGTAAAAAAGAAAAGAAAAGAAAAGAAAAGCACATTGGGTCTCATGAAATGTATTTTAAAATTAAACATCACATTTCTCCACACTGAGCGATGAGGATGGGCAGTTTTGGTTTGTTGTTGGGTCCAGTGGGGACGTTCTGTTTGAGGGGACAATAACAAACTCAGAATTAAAACTAAATCCACAAAGCAACAAACAGCGTCAACAATCGGTGAAGAGTTTGTGCCTCAGGATCAACGAAAATTCGTCCGGGACAGGAGGAACGTTTTTGAACGTTTCAATGAATCCAACGCCTCATTTCTACGGTTCGCTATTTTACGGTCGGCATATCCACATCTGTCTCTAAATAGTCTGAATAAAGTATATATTTTCTCCTAAAACAGCTTCTGGTCTAGAATCATTCAAAGTCAAAATAAAAAAAAATTAAAAAACATCACTAAAATGGAAGTAAAAGAAAATTACCATGAAAGTCATGAAAATGATTTCTAATCCACCAAGACGAATTTTAAGAGTTCGAAGGCTGATAGTTTCCCAGTGGCATGTTTGTTGTTTATAAATTCAAAAATATTTTCACATTTATCAGATCTCAAGTTGACCGATTAAATTCTTTGGCGTCTCGTTATAACTGAGAATGCATGATATCATCTTTTCATTTTATGTCAACCTAAATTCACGGGTTCGGTGAAATTAATACATTTTTATTACTTGAATGTTATATTTGAATGACTGAATGACCTGGCAACTCCTCCGATTATGTGAAGAAAACACGAAACTGAAAGCGTTCCAGCAGATCTGCTGTAGGTGGTTCTGCTCGGGTAAAATATCGTCTTTCAACTCCCTTTGTTAGAGGAACATTAGTGAGGAAATTTATTGTAAGCGTAATATGCTTCAGAAACAACAGCTGTGTACTCAGGTCTAATTTTGTTAGGTATTTTTGTGTGTACTTTTAAATTGCTCAATGATTCTATTGTGATATATCTTAAAAGTAAAATTATTAATTTTAGCTCTTTTTTTCTGTGATAAAATTACATAGTGCAAACAGTGTTTTTGATCATGCAAATCCATTGGTATGCGCACTGATACACAAAACAGCCCTTATTGGCCAGAAACCTTGCATAGTTACCTATGAAATCCAGTGTTTCATTTAAAAGGATGAAAGACAAGAGGCACAAAAATGAGTAAGTATTTTGTGAAGTTTTACCTCAATTTTCCTCATGATCAGAAGGCCATCCACCACTTTTCCTAAAACAATCAAGAATCTGGTGTAAGCCTGACTGGAATTATGTTTGTGTAAAAAAATGATGAGTGCACCAGTCTAAATAAGTACATTTTGTAAACTGACTCACCAAAAACAACGTGCTTCCCATCTAACCAGTCACATTTAGTGCAGGTAATGAAAAACTGGCAACCATTTGTCCCCGGTCCGCTGTTTGCCTGAATTAGAAATAATTTGAACAGAAACGTTTGGTAGCATTACCTCGCTTAAATGCATCAAATTAGCTTTACTTTCTGCAGAGGACGGAATAATAGTTTAATAGCATTCACCAACACACATACCATGGATAGAAGTCCAGGAGCAGAATGCTTCATTTTGAAGTTTTCGTCTGCAAATGGACCCCGGTAGATGCTGCAGATACCAGTACCATCCCCCTTTAGCAAAAGACAAACAGGAACTATTTTAGAAGTCCGTCTAGATAAGTGTAATTCACTTCATCACCACAAGAGGGAGACAAAATTGCTTTATCCAGAGCAAAGCGAACTGTCCTCTTTCTGTCCTAAGAGCAATCTTTATTAATGAAGTTGTAATAGATATCGAGTCTAAATGAGAGCATTTCTGGAGTAAAATGTTATATTTTAGCAAATGTTCTAATAGAGAGAATACAAAATGGGAGTAGTTCTTCTTGATATTTTGATTCTGTAATACAAAAAAAAAAAGAATTGTAAACTGGTTGAATTTTCTCAACCTTGCAAAAAGTGATGTTACCGATGAATTTCAACTTTTATATTTTTCGACTGGGTAAGTTAAGCTTAGTACACATAGGCTAAAAAGGAGTCAAAAGAAACTCAGTGAACATAGATGACAACAGTTTTTCCAGGGGAGTATACACAAAGTTGGGGTATTACAAAAGGAAATCCCATCTCGACATGGTCAAGGTAATAATAGGTTTTATACTGAGCATCAATACTCTAGTAATGAGCACAGTGGAAAAGAAAACAACAAAAAAGATAAAAACCCGAGCTTACTTACGCCTTAATTAAAACCTTCCACACAAAATGCCAGGATTTTGAACCAGAAAATAGGAAGTGTGTGCACATACTTACATTTACAAAGTCTCCACCTTGAATCATGAAGTCTTTGATCACCCTGGAGATAAACAGAGAAAAATGTGTACCAAAAAGGTGAAGTAGGTTGAGCTGTTTGATTCAAAGAGCCTTCAGTCAGAAAAACAACGACTATGATTGTAGATCCGGGATGAATGTGAAATATAAACCAAAAAAATTTAAATTTAATATTCTTTGGACTCAAACTTCACTTTGTAAGACAGCTTAGACCCCCAATGAATACATAAAAAAAAGCACAAGAACCATTTTGAACACAATAAGACATGGGTGCATAAGCCTGTGGTGTGGTCTCTTTCTTCTGTTTCAGTAAAGTTTAACCAGCAATCATTTTTTTGTTACATACCTGTGGAAAGTGCAGCCTTTGAAACCAATTGGAACGCCATCCTTCCTGCAGCACAAAAGATGGAGGAAGAAATGTAGTTTTAAAAAATTCATCCAGGATGGTTCAAAATATGGTTTCAGTGCCATTTGTGGCTCTTTGAATAATTTTGTGTGACTCCGCAAATCTGGCCCTCCAGCAAATGGAGCCGATGCAGATGAACACCTTTTGTAATATTTTAGGATTTTTTAATGACAAGCTATTATCTCCTTAAATGAAAAACATGAGCTACAACACAAAGTTGTTTTTAGAATTAGCCGTGCTTTTTTAAATTCTTTTTCTTTAATTTTAAAAATCATATTACTGTACTTAAAACATCCAGCAACTTTTTAGCCAAAAACAAACTCGGGTACACTGAATTATTATGCAGCTGATATTATTTGTTCCACTGTGGTCTGTTTATGTTGAGCAGGTAGAACTGAATGTTTTGATGGAAATGAATGTACTTGATTATGTCACAGGATCTCCATTTTGAATCAGACACTCCTTACTTCACACTTACACACCTTAACACTGCGGATCTTTTTGTTAGGAGTTTTTGTATTGTGTCTTAGGAACATGCTTGTGATGTACAACGTTGGGGAAAAAATGGGCAAATTAAAGCAGTTAAATTGACACAACTTTTGAACACAATCAGATTATTAAATAAGCACCGTCTGATGAAGCACTGTTGAACAGGATTCATTTCTGTATTGCCTTTTGTATTACATGAAGCCAAATGCTAAACTAACTACAAATATACTTATACTATTATTATAACCTAAAGATATTTACTGGCTAACCAACTGTTTTTTGAGGATGATGAAAGAAGAAAGTAGAAAATGCTTTTTCCCCATCATCAAAACTAAACGTGTTGAGTTGCTAAATGCTTCAGGGAGTGGAAAGCTTTTCATATCATTTACCTTTAGAGTTGCTAATGGATGTGTGCAGAACCACATGAATGTGGTGTGGTGTTGTGTTGTGCGTGAAGCTGCCTTACCTGAACTCTCCAGTGCAGAACTGCCTGTGAGGAAGGAATGAAAACATGAGCAACAGGTTTAAAAACCACTGCCTTAGTTTTGTTCACATGTGCTGTATACACCCAAATCACAAGCCATGAATTAAAGGGATGCTGTGATGCCAGCTTGTTCCTTACCGAAAGTTCTCAGCAGTCTTTGGAACCACATCAGCAAACAGCTCTATCTTCATCCGGCCGACATCCTGCCGCAAAGTTGAGATAATGTTGAGTGAAAGGATGAGACAGCAAATAAAGCCGTGACATTGAGTTTCAGTGGACCTCAAAAGTGTAGATATGCCCCCTTGTACAGGTCAACTGAAACTGTCGAAAACGCAGGTATAACCCAGCCTGGATGCAAATGGGCAGCCATTAAACTCTGCAAGTCTTGATTAAAGCAGCTTTTGATTTAATTTCAGTTTTTATCTTTTTCTTGGTACACTCCCAACATCTATTATAATTAATCTGATTAAGTTCAGTTACCGAGTAGGTTTTTCCAAATATTTACAGCCTTTTTCTAAAGTCACGGTTTTAGAGTACTTACAACAGATCAAAGTAATCTCAGTACACAATGTTATCAGTAGGAAAAAAGGAGCAGAAAATATCCCTTCACCTTGGTACAATGAACACGGGTATCAACAATTAGATACAATATTGCACAACAGGAACATTATGAATGCTTCTCTAAAACTGATAAAAACCAACAGAGAAAAACATCTGAGAGAGGTGCAACAGGTGGTGTAGGGGTAGAGAACAACCCGCATATGGAGGCCATAGTCCTAGATAGAAACTAGAAACTAAACAGGAAAACCATCATCACTGGCCAACTAGCCCACACACTCACAGCAGGCTCTGATGCAGGAGAGGAGCTGTAGTGAGAAGAGAGCAGGGGGTTTGCTGCCATTAAATGGTTTGATCAGCTCAGCTGCCACTGTCGTGTTCTTCATTTTATGTGGCTGGCATTCAGTTTTTAGAGCATCATCGCCACTAACTGGGTTAAAGGACCAGTAATACTGTTTGTTAGAGGGAAAGGAAACTAACGTCACGCTGGTATTGGGCTTTGTAGTATCAGATAATTTTTATGAATACAAATACACGCACATGGTATCAGATACCTAATGTTGGTATCAGAGCTAGCATCCTGATGATGTCATAGATCTTTGGCTCGCAGAAAAATTTAGTTCTTTTCCCGTACCACTAGGTGGCACTGGGAGGGAAACGCACAAGATACCTTGACCTCGTTGTTCAGGTAGAAGACCGTGTCTTTGGAGAAACCCTGGATCCAAAATTAATTATTTGGCTGCTTGCGTATCCAGTAAATAAATGGAATAGTAAATAACTCTGAGCTTGGCTTGTTTCACCTATTGAAAGAAAGGATCAGAACGAGTTGCAGATTCCCAAGAAGTCTCTGATAATGTTGACAAAGGGATTGCTCCTCCACTGGCCTGAGAAGACAACACAGGAGTTGCTGAGAGATGGAACTACTTCTTCCGATTCAAATGCTGAATTTCAATCAGAAATTCAACAAAATACTTTGGTGTGCACACTAAAACAACCAGCTTATTGGAAAATTTTTAATTTTGACCTTCTACCAGATTTGTTTGTCTTACACGAAGTGTTAAAGTATAAGAACTAGCTACAGATATCGGCTGCCGCAATTAAAATAACACGTAGGAGAACTGATCAGTTCTGATACAATTTACAAGTCATAACCAATAACATAAAGAACACGTTAGGCTTGACATTAAGCTTTAAAACATAAACGAATATAATTGTTTTGCTTTCTTGTACATGTGTGTACAATAAAAGCAAATCTATGAGTCAGCTTAGTTTTCTCTTCCCCAGGAAACTGGACAATGCAGGACAGCCATGGACGTCCAAAACAATGTGTGTTTCTGTGTGTATAAATGAATTCACACGGACGTACAAGCACACAAAAAGAGATTTGTCCTGACGACATCAGTGACAACCCTCTCCCCTAAATGCAAATAACTCAAAGTAAGACAAAAAAGCTATTGGATTTCCTACCCCTGCTGTTTAGACTGCACAAAGCACTCAAAGACTCAAAGGCAAACACATAAAGCAGATAAAGATGTCGAGACGAAACAGATGTCAAACACTGTGCCCCTGACCCGAGGGAGGATTTTTCTGACCGTGGTCCGACGTCCGCAGAAGGTAGGACTTATTCACCTTACATTACACTGTTTTTCACTTTACAGAAAGCAGATCTTTTGAAATTCAGCTGTTCTTGTTCTACTTCCTAGAAGTAGGATAAAAAGAAAAGGATGAATTTGAGAAGAGGCAGCAGGTGTGCTGTACAGAAGGGAGAACAAGAGTTTCACCTGTCATGCTGCAGAACTCAAACTCCAGGAATCCTGCCACAGTTTCGTCCCTAATTAACAATGCTCAAAGCAAAACAGGAACATCCCAACAAAGAACAAAAAAGACACATAGAGCAAAAACAACTTAAGCCAAAACTGTTGGGACACAATATTTCAGAGAAGCAACCGCAGGTTTTCAATATTCAAAACCTGTCTCCTTTTCTAGGAATTATGTTGTAACAATAAAGTAATTGTGCAAATAAAATGAGCACACAGGGAGTGACTTCAGCCAGGCAATTATTTTAGATAACATGAGCTACAAACTACAGGTAAAAAAAACCACAAAAAAAACAAAAACAATTATACTAATAGAGGAGCTACCTAAAGCAAACTTAAATGGCAGGCTTCCTTAAAAACCTGAAAGGTGTGTCGCCCTGGATCATTTGCAGCAAAAATGAAAAGGTGGAGCCACAGAAGGAGCAGCTTAAAAGGGAGTTACTCCACTCGACAATATTCACAGAGGAACAACATCAACAGCATCCTGCTGGACTGACTTACTGAAAAAATAACGCCAGGCAGAGAGGTACTCACCATTTAACTTTATGATAACATTTATTGTCTTTCATAAAGCGGATTGACTATTTGCTCTACAAGAGGCAAAGGCTAAAATTCAATGTTTGTACAAGACAGGTATTGTGATACTGGTGTTAAAGAATTGAAAGATTGTATCCACACAGCTGCAACAGGGAAAAGTATAAACGCTTCAAATGTAGACCTGATGGCAAAGGACACTGAAGGGCATTTTACATGCGTAAAACAAAAGTCTGCTTCATTTAAAAAACGTCTCAGCCAGTTTCCAGTACGACAGGTTTAAATAAAAGATAAATAAAATAAAATAAAAAAACAGGAAAATCATTTAACAGCTTGAAATCAGCCAGGATGTTTATTCACATAGCAAATATTTTCTAACAGAGGAAATGTAGGATTTCTGCAACTCACAGCAAGTTGAATCTAATAATGTTTTAAAACCTTCCCAGACAATCATGGTATGACTTTATAGCCTAAACCAGAGGTCTGCAACCTTTACAATCCAAAATTAAATAAATATCATTTAGAGCTGCAAGTGCTACATGATCATTTACAGAAGAAAACTTTTACTTTTTGACAACTGTGAAGCCATTTGGTCAAATACTGTTATTTAGTTTACAGTAGGTCTATTGTAAACAAATATTTTAGCAATCGAGTAATCTATCAATTATTCTTACGATTAGTTGAGTAATCGGATTAAAAAAAAGATAAAATAAAACATTGGTAAATCTAACATAACAGCAGTATTACTATCACATATCAATATCAGTCCAATTTTTCCACATTTGAGCTTCCCTAACAATTACTTTTCTGTAGTTTAGAAAATTAACTTGTAACAATAATAGCTCACTTTAAGTTAACCTGAAAAAATGTTATACAAAAATCTGAAATTATATTCAATGTAATAATAAAAAGGCAGCTTCACAAATAGCGTGTCTATTTGTGAGGAGGTTATTATAAAAAAAAGTCTATTCTCCAACTTTTGGTTTATGTATTCATCTTCTGTCAGTTTAATAGATGAACTCTCACATTGCCCAGCCATTTATAGCGTTTGTGTTCAAGTTAGCGGCGGATTTGACACGTCTGCATGCGTCACACACAGAAACGCATCTCCCAGGTATGTAACGTCACGATGCTCTTCGCCACGCATTTGTTGCGACCGGGATGATATGAAATTTATTTTCCGGTATTTTCAGTAAAGCTACGCATCTAAGGCAAAGCCGCCCGCAGTGTTCAGTCTATCCGCTCACATGTATAAATTATCCCGCCGTTCGCTCTGAAACAGCATCTCCGGGAGGAGAAAAGCTGCCGTACTCAAGCATCGCTACCGTCATTTTTAGTATGTGTATTGGTCCCCCGAAAAACGACAAAAACCCGGACATTATCAGGAATCAGTAAAATCCTCCCAGGCCGAACTTGAAAACTGAATGTTGTGCTGCTAACAGTTAGCTTTCGTCAACAACATAGGCGGAAGTGAGAGCGCGGCGGAACGCAAATGAAGTCCCGGCCGGAACACGGTGCGCTAACTAATAAAACATAAATTAACGAAGCTTCGAGGCAGGTAAATTTTCCTTGAGGAATTTCAATAATCGAGGTATTCGAATCACTCGAGGAATTGCTTCAGCCCTAGTTTATAATCGAAATAAGTCACATCAATAAGCTGGTAGTTGAGTTCATAGTTGGCTAAATGTATGACTAACCATAGCTAAAATTTGGAAGCTATACAGTTTGATCAGAGTGTGACACGTATTAAGAGTGGTCTTCCTCATTGTATTTGCACAAACATGATTGAGTGAGCACTGTTAGCAGCAAACTATCTTCATTATCAAACTTAATTTTTCTCTGGTAACTTTTTTCTAACTGCCAAGAATTTAGGCAGTTAGAAAAAAGTAAACAGCTCATGAACACTGAGCAAATTTTACATGCGTTATACCTTGGAAAAGATTTGTCAAAGTGTTTGTTTGGAAGACACATAGACGTGTTTTTGGTTGGTAAAATGTAGAGCAGTATATATAATTTTTGAGTGTAGCATTAAGATATGTGCTTCAGGTAATGAATTTTCCTTTCTGCTATGTCTCAATTACAAAAATGTTTAGAGTGTGGCATTATGAAGAGTATTAGTCTATTAGCTAGTAATCTATTTTTCTGGTTGTTATATTTCAGTTACAGAAACAAGAAGGCACAACAGGGCAATTTGTTGGTACAAATTGATGAAGGGATTAACTGAGTAATTTTAGCAACAATCATAATGGTTTTTGTTGAAGGTGTTGGTGAAGATGTGCTTTTTAATTCCCTAAGCAATTAATTACAAAACACACCGGCAGTCTCTTTTCTTCAATGAACTGTGAATACAGAATGACGAGTAATAAATTCCTTCAGATAGGGCTGCCTGCCAACCTGCGTGACATACGCATAACTCTCAAAACAAAACAAAAAAATGCCGGTGAAAAAAAGCAATGGAGATACAATCTTAAGAGGCAACTAAATAAAATTTAATATCTATACTGGTGGAAGATTTAGGCATACCAAAATCATTTTACGGCCTAAATTTGAAATGATTAAAACCGTTTTTTTAGGCTTTTGCTCTAAGTGTATGCAAGCAAAAAGTTAAAAGTCAGAGGCCAATCTCAGAGAGCAAGTTGGTTTTACACTAATTTCTGGTGTCAGCAGGTTAAGTACACCACAAGACTGTTGCAATAGTTAATCATGGACCATAACCTGTCTTAAACGATGGTGGTGAGGAACGCCCAACAAGCAGCAATCCAAGGACCACAGACTACAAATGACAAATTTACCTGATAATTAGGGCCAAAAGAGACCTCTTATATTTGAAAGGTGAAAAGTCAAAAATCAGTTTAGATGCCTGTTGATCAGAATCAAGATTTCCTCTGGACAGCTGCAACACTTTCTATAAATTACTGAAAAAGTATTTAATATATAATAAGGCATCAGATTAATCATCCTGTAAATCCTGATTACTGATTATCAAATTGGAAAGGATACTGCTTAAAAATTAATCTTAAAAGTAAAATAAGGAAAATTCTTGGGCTTAGCAAAAAATACACTATACGCTCTATTTATAGGCTCTCTAGCTATAAAAGGCTTGTAGAGAATAATGCTGTTGTGTTGTTTAACACAAAGTGCTTTAGAGAGATTAAAATCAGAAAGACATTTAACCACAAGAGAAATTGAAAGAAATTATCAGAAGCGTACAATCATACAGACAGAAAAACTAGTCATTTAGAATCATGAGGAATTAAAAGCGAAAGATACCAATCAATAACAGAGAATGAGGAATTCAGTTACTGCATTAAAGAAAATTCACACTGAAGGCATCAAAATGATTGCCTGTTTTTGAGAATAAAACAAATCAAATAAAAAGTTCACGCAGAGAATCTGTAGAAATACTGAGAATAAAAACAGTGGATCTGTAATAAAAAGACAGATCTTTGCATATCTACTGTTTATAAATAATCAGTTTTTGTTGCTTATGATCTCCGTTAGACTGTCCTTTCTGACTACGACATAGAATAAAGTACCTCCAACTCAACAGTATTTTAAGAAGTTTTAAATTCATGAGAAATGCGTCTAAGGATTCTGTTTTGTCCTCTGCAGATTTTTCTTGGAGCACCTTTACTCCAAACTCTCCAGAGTCTTCCTCGTCTTTGGACGACAGTCTAACTGCGAAAATGTTTGCCATCATCGAGCAGTGGGACGAGGCGTCCAACCAATATACAGACGTCACCAAGAAGTACTTTTTGATTTTGCTCGTCAAGTTTGGACTGGAAACGGCTGTGTTTTACTCATGCAGCCCGAAAAAGTACATGTACTTTTTAAGCGTCTGCAGCCTGTCCGTCTTGCTGGCTGATTTTCTTCTTACAGTGTTAATGGGAGCCGCCTGGTTTCTCGGCCCAGAGAAGTCGTTGGTGTCAACCTGCTTCCTGTTGGCTACGGCCTCAACAACATACAGAGCTCTGCCACTCCCTATGTTGATCGTGGGCTTTGTTGACTACTGTTTAGATGACGTCTTCATGTGCAATGTCTCAGTGTCATGGAAAACATTTAGAAATGTTATCTTGACCCTGGTGGTTTGGGCGGTTGCTTTTCATAACTCAATTCTCTCCGATTACGTCAGACTGGTGGAACTGGATTCTTCGGGGGAGATAAACGTGCTTCTCTGTAAAGTGACAGAGTCAACAGTGATCACAGTCTTTGTTTTCGGACTTTTCATGGCGTGCCTACTGACGTTGGTGCCATTTTGGTCCAGAATTCCCCAGTGGGTGAGAGAAGTCGACAGGATGCTTGAATCTCGGGAGCAGCAGCAGAACACGAGGAGCGATCTGCTCCTCACTTCAACCTGGAATCCCAACCCAGAATCAAAAACCAGACTGGAGGAGAACAGCCTGACGAGGCCTCCTCTGTGGTTCAGCATAACACTTGGCTTTATATTGTTCTGGATGCCGTATCTTGTGATGTCTGTCTCTTGCCTGATCTGCGGAGTTGGAGTACCTGCACACCTCGGAGTAAACCTTCTGTGGTTGGAGTGCTCCAACAGCCTCCTGGTGGGTTTGGTGTTCTGGGCAAAGAGCCACACAAAGGGGCCTTACAGCAGTCTACCAGAGAACATGTGCTTGTGGCAGGTTTACTGGCACTTGAGCAAAGACATACGACGATCTCTGCCGCCTACTGCTGTGTTTAATCCATCATGTGAAAAGAAGAGCAGCTCATTACATGTGTAGAAAAAAATAAAAAAAATCACCCAAAGACACAGCAATGCAGACTAAATGAAAGTCCTGATGAATGGATCAGTGATCTGAATCTGTGGTCGTTGCTTCATCCTGCTGTGGCTGAATGTTACTAAAGCCAGACTCGGAAACAGATCGATACAGATCGTCCTCTCCAGAAGCCAAGAGGTGATTAACCGTGGCTTTAAATGAACTGTTAACTTTTGGCAGGGTGCTTACTGATGCTGGTGCCATTTTAGTCCAGGATTCTGAAGTTGATCTTCGCAGCAAAATGTTGCAACTGTTTACTGTGCATGGTGGGAAATTCGGAAAGACTACAAAATGTAGCAGATCACTTTATCTTCTTCTATTTTAACTTTGTGGACTCCACTGATACATGTTTGTCAAAAAATACAAATAAAATATTCAGAAATATTGCCTCTTTCAGTTATATTTACCATACCATCGCATTCTATTTATAGTTTAAAAGGAGATCTCAGAAGTGTACACTACACTCACCTGTTAACAGATTAGGTTTTGTGATGCAAAGCATGAGCATGAGGATTTTAGAATTTTTTGCACCTTTAATGTAAGATGTATCCTGTATAATTCAACTGCAAAACAACTCAGACAGAAAAGATAAAAACTAAAACTAGAAAATTAGGGATCAACAACATATCTGCTTAACAATAGCATCGGACAATATCATTTAGTCATTTGTTTGCTTGCAGGTATTGGTTCAATAAATAATACTAAGTCAATAAGCTATATTTTTTCCATCTTCTTGCAATTTGTCTTTGGAGGGAGAGGCTGGAGGTTGGTCATGTGACAGTGATGCAGCGTTGAATTGTGGGAAGTTTTAACTGTAGCAGTTAAAATGTCAGCGGTGTGATTGCTTTTTTTCAAGGTGTCAAATGGGTAGTAAAATATATATAATAACGGTAAACACTGGTTATTGGCCTCAACAGCAATATTGTATCAAATAGCGGCTCGTGTTTTTATGTCGCCGCATAAATATATAGAAAAAGTGGCAACAATTTTGGTTGCAAAAATGTGCACAACCTTTTGATTCAACTTCAGCATTCATTTTATGTCATAAAAGGCTATACGTCCCACATTTTAATTTGGTAATAGCTACTACTTCCTTTATCGTAAGTTCTCAAAATCTCTATTCAGGTGAGCCTAATGATTCTCTGTCAGTTTTAGCTCTGAACTTTAGCTCGGCGATTCCAAAGACGTAAGCTTTCAGTCATGAAGACGTTCTTCTGTACATCTAGATGTAGTATTACTACGATGCTGAAACATAAATGTCCTTGTTTCAGCATCCGCTCCTTGTTTAGAGCAGTATCATCCCTGCCGCTCTCAACCAGAACAGGGAGCGGTAGGGATCAGTCAGAAAGGCTGCACTTTTCTGGTTGATCAGGTTTGACATACTTTATGTTAGGTGTGTACCCAAATGTTAAACATTATAATTAAAAGGAAAAGTGATTATGCAAAGTCATAATTTCAGGCTGTGCACACTTATATTCCCACACAACATTTTATATTTATATCCATTTCTCTTGATAGATTTGTACTTTTCATTTGACTTATACTAGACAAATACCACATTAAATGTATTTTTAAAATACCAAGGGTTTTAATGGGGGAGACTGTGCATTTTGACAGACACTATATTTTGGACCAAACATTACTGACAAAATAAATAAAAATTAATAAGGGGAAAAAACAGTGCTTTATGAGATTTAGATACAGTTTGAAAATGGTCTACAATAAACTTTGACAGATCCTCCAATATCTTTTTATTTTAGTCTGTGTTGCTTTTATCCTTCAGCGCCCATTCAGTTATTAACCCCACAGTGTATTGTGACAAAACACTGTGCAAAATGTAAAGGTCCGAGGTAACAACAAGAAAAGAGGTCCGGACTTTTCACCCGACTCATCAATCGTCCAGGTAAGTTTGGGCGCAAGTTGTGTTGTTGTGTCCTTCTGATTCTAAAAGTGTCACCAAAAGGTTAAAATATCTTTTGTGACACACTACGGCTGTACATTGTATCTTATATACAAGTGTCAAAGTAACTTGAAAGCCAAAAGTTAGCCAAGCAAAATACTTCAACTCTAAATAAGAATTTGCAAAATCCCTTGATACCATAAATTCATTATCAAATCAATTTAAAAGGGTTTTTATGATATTCCACTATATTTTAATGTGTAGTCTAACTTTTCATATATATATTTCGAGCACAGCGATGTTAGTGCCAGACTTTATAGAAAATTGTTTCTTAAAATAGTTGACTTTAAAATAAATGAAAATGGATAGAATTTAGTTTTGTGCAACTGTGAAAATCACAAAGCGACTATTTTATAGTTGAACTGATAAGGCTGTTCATGGCACATACCATTTTTTTAAAGTGGTGTAGCCATTACTATTGAACAAAACTGTGCTGCAGGTTCTTGGACAGAGGTTTTCATTTTGAATCTCTCAAAACAGAAACTAAGGAATTATAAGATGAACTTCATTTATGAATTAAACAATATCTCCCAAGCAACAAAAGTGGATCAAGGTGCAAGTGGTAAGTTGGTGCATAATACGAACAAAACTGTGGGAGGTTTCCATTTAGATGCATGTATTGAACAAGGAAAAACAAAACTAAATGCAATGTTTCATCATTTAACCTGCCCATCACCAATAAGAGAGAATTACTGGCCGACTTGATTGGTAAACCTCTAGCTGATAGTTAATAATGTTCGCTCTAGTAGTAACTGATCTTCTCTTACCTGTTTATTTGAATAAACCTTCATGTAGACATGCATTACAATGGGGATTACAATGACAAAGAACAGGGCAATGAAAGCTATTAGCTAGGGTGCTGTATTGTAACTTATGTATGGCTTTATGTCTAATAACACCGTGGAGACACATTTACCTTTGAGGCAAAAGTTAGTAACGCCTCCAAATGTTTCGTTTTTTTCCATGTCTAACCATGTAGACACAACTTTGTCTTTGTCTGCTTTGTCTGCTTTACATAGCTACATTTACCTCAGCAAACGAGAAACTGTTAGAGAAAGTATGTCGGGCTCTCGCTAATTGTTGCAAATTACGCAAAGAAACTGAATTAGAGTAATTTGGACGCATTAAACGCAGCTCAAAAAGCAACGTTTTCCTGTGAAAGTCACGGTAAGTTGAGGCTGATGACTAGCAGTGACGTCGACTCAACGTTAGCGGGGAACTTAAACTCACCTGTCCTCCTATGGTGATGTCGAAGAAGACAATCGGGTTGTTGGGGTTGGATGGTTGAACAGACATTTTTTGTGCTCTGCCTGCTTTATTAAATTAAAATATATATATGAAGTTCACACATGAATCATTTGAATGGTCCGAGTATACAGCGCATGCGCAAATGAAACAGACGGCAGCTCACGAGAGACAGTATAAATACTGCGACACAAAAGACAAGCGCGAAAGCGAGCGCTTGCACCAGGGTTCCCTCCGATGGTCACATAGGGTAACAAAAGTAAACTTAATGCAAATACACTTTGTATTTTTGGGAAATCTAGAAGCACTCTTTCCAAATAAAACTCAAACTCCATTAATTTAAAATTAATTACATTTCATAATATTCAATAGTATTTACATGACTTGAAAAAGTTGGCTTATGCTTTTGTGTAGAGCAGAAAAATCTCTAAAAAGAAAACCAGATGCAGTGCGCATATTCCCTCATAAGTGCAGTTTCACGCAAGAAAGGAGGTTGTTTAGCATCACTTCTTACACATGTATTTTCATCTGATGCTAGATAAAAATAATCATGATCATAACAAAAGGAAGAACTAACTTGTATTGTCAACATTAAAAGCTTGTAACTTTTGCTCTGTTTACATCAAAATGCATATTTGGTTGAAGATGAACACTAATCAACCACTCAATAGGCAATGTCACTAAATATGATCTTTGAAAACAGTTTCAATAACAAAGAACAATAAAACAAAGAACAAAAAAAAACAAAAAAAAAAACATTTTATTATTTTGGAAATATTTTTATTTTCATCATAAAACAAAATTCTACACTTTAACTAAATGCAAAGAAAGCTTCACAAAAACTGACAAGCTTAAGATTTTACAAAGCTGTACCAAACCATGGTTGAGAAACATTTGTCAATAAAGCTGGCAGAAAACTCTAGGAGGCTAGCAGGACACCCATTGCTACCAACAATCAAAAAGGTTTATGAAATGAGTTCTATGTGAAGTAATAAGGTTTCTTGACATTCACGCCATATTCAGAGAGGGCAAGTGTCAGGTCCTCCATTGTCAGTGTGTACTTTTTATCCTATGGGACAAAAAAGGAGGAAAGAAGAGGAGTCACAAAACAGCCATCAACATCCTCCATCAGAATCACTGAAAAACTTGAGTTTCAAAGTGCTACTTCGAGCCTCACCTTCGTCTTACTCCTGGAGCTTCCGGAAGCAGTTCCCTTCATTTTGCAGTACTGCAGCGCATCGTTGGCAATGTCAGAGATAAACTTCTGAGAAGCAAGGGAGATCAGGCGGATTCTGCAAAGATACCAAAGAAAATTATTACGTTTTTGTTGTTGTTGCTTTTTTCACCAATCATTGACTTCATTGGTTGAAAACCTCACAGCAGTGGTGTTCAAAGACCCTCAGAGCTCATTGCATCTTTAAAGACTCTGAAAAGAAGTTTGTAAATCCTTTGTTTTAAGTTAATCAAATCTAAAGTTGGAAAACAAATGGTTTAGGAGTTTTGCAATAGAAAAAAAATGAAATAACGTGATGACTAGTAAAGATTTTGGGGGAAAAAACTTTAGAGATGCGTATTGTGTCTGCTTTTGCTTTTACTTTAGATGCTAAATTAATTACACCAGAAATACAACTCTTGAGGGGTGCAAAGGTTTTCCAGTGACAGCTGTAGGTGACTACAAATAGAGAACCTAAAAGATTATTCTACAACCATATTATTTCAGTTCCACTAATCATTTTTCAAAAATCAGTAAATTCCAATCGGTAAATTCCCAATTTTCATCTTATACAACAACTTCTTTAGCAAGCAAATTTACTGCTGACAACAGCAGTAATAATTGTTTTTTTTTATAATGGTGCTCAGGCCTTAGACTGAAAGCTAAGTGACAACACATGCGGCCAAATTCCTGTAGGTAATCCCAGTATAATGTACTCACATTCTCGGATCAGAGGCCTCAAAGCCTGCCCTGTTGAGGTAGTATCCTGTCACTGCATCAGGAATCTAAAACCGAATGTACAAACAATATTTTAGCAAATGCATTTACACAAGCCCTGAAATTAATTCAACTTATGTAAAAAAAAAAAAAAAACATGACAAGGATCACAGGGTGCACCTTCTCAGATGGGCTCGTGAATGAATAACCATTACTGCATGCTGCTACTCTGCAATGATCAGCCCACAAATCTTTTATGAGGATGTGTGTTCTCGACAAAAGCCGACTGTCTTTACCGTGGGAGTGTAATCCTCCAGCTGCATGAGGAAATCCGCCAGAGGTGTGGTGGAGACGGCAGGCCTTATGTCTCCATTAGTGATTCCGCTTGGAAGGTAAACCCCGTTAGAGACAGATGAGTCTGCGGACGGTGTCGCCACAGCGGCTGATGCTCCAGCTGGAAGTTAGAAAATTGAAAAAAATATTTCAGTTTATTTTTGCTACAGAAGCAGGAGGAAACTTGAAAATCAACTCTTTTCATGTCACAATTTCCAGTTGTGCCTTTTTGAAGTTTCTTATTTTATCCACGTTTAACACATTTAATTTTACTATTTTAACTTGAATCTAATCACTTGCAAGCATACATACATTTCATATTTTTGTATGTTACAGAGGAGAAAGTTTATTGTTTTAAACATTATTTGAGTTCCCACGATGTCAATCAAATCCATACATTTTTGATATTCTTGTACAGATTTATTTTTTCCATAACTGCCTTTTTACATTTTACATTTAGCTTTTTTTTCTGAAAAACTCTGATTGATGATGTTGGGACTTTTTGGAAATATTGATCTAACTGTATACAATTATGGAGCAAAATGTTTTACTTAAGATACATTTTTCTTGCAAATTAATCTGTTATACTTTTATCATCAATCATTATGCCAAGGAATTTTCTCCATCAATGCACACTTCATGCTGAAGTTTAATTCTAATTCACTGCATTCACTTTGACATGAGACAATTTCACTGCATCAAATTGATCTGGAGCATAGTTGGTCAGAACTAGTTCAAAGTCCAAAATACTTAAAATAGCAAAACTTGAACTGAATTCTTTGTAAATATTAGAGATTCTCGAAAAATTTTTTGAAACTTGCTATTTTGTTGTTTAATTTAATTTTTTCCCACTTTCCTCTATCTTACATAGTGTCCAGTTTAAAAACTACAATAGCTAGAAAGGTCAAAACTGAGCTGAATCTTTCTACACTAAAGACAGATACTATAAGACATTTTGTGAAATTTTTTTGGAACTTGTCAAATCTGAAATGATACTTTGACTTTCTGACTATAAAACCACCATACTTAGCTCAAACCGTGGAAGAAATAGTCTAGACTCTCAGATTCTATAAAAGACTGAATTATTAAACCCTTATTCAATTTGTAATAAACTCGAGGTATGCTGTGTAAAGTTTCTTTGGGCTTCTTATCTTAAAAATTAGAAGGAAAACAAAAGTTTCAAAATGATTCGAGTGGATGGTGTAGTTTCTCCAATCTGGACGTAGTTCAATTTATTTTCAAGCCAAGTAAAAGAAAAAAAAGAAAACCAAAGAACGGTTTTCATAAATCCCACATTTCTAGAATGTTTNTAAANATCTTAGTTTCCATTTAGATAATCCATTATCCCTTTGTGATTTAAAATTGTTACCTTACTTTAATTAGACATATTCTACTTCAAGTTGATATTCTGAGCATTTTAGATTTCGAATTATTTAACGCAGAAAAACATCCCTTTGGTCAAGATACGGATCGAATGCAACTTCAGGGTTAGCATCGATCAATGTTTTTTACTTGCCATATAAGGTAAGTTTAGGTTTACTTGGATTCAAATACATTTTATGCCGCAAAACTACCTTCCACAGTTCCGTTGCAACTAACAACACTTGTAATATTTGGTATGTACAAAGTTGAAGTATGATTGTTAGCAATTTAGTAGTACTATACTATATAGTTCAACATAGAACAGTTGTTGGAATACATTCTACGCACGTTTCTGTAATGCTAAATGACTTCACAAATACATCCAGACTGATAAACAAACCGAGCACAGCACAGACAACATAAACATTAGCCGAAGTTACAAAACGTTACCATTACTCGTCACTGAAGGGATGCTGCTGACGTTCGTCGTTGCATTGTCATTTGCGATGCAGTTACTTGAAGTTGAAGAGGTCGTAGCTGGCACTCCAGTTGTAACAGACTGATTTACGTTGTCTATATTCATGTCGATTTTAGCTAACTTGCTAACCCTGGGTAAGCTAACTCGGGAAGGTGTATAAAACCAGAAAAAAACAACTCTGTGCTATTTAGTTGCAACCCTAGTTCTTTATTAAAGTATAAGAACTGAAGAAAAAATATTTGACAAAATCAAAATAACATAATCCAGCTCTTAAATAGCTTTATCTGCTGCTGCCGTCTATCCGAAAGCTGAGGTCATGCTACAGTTCTGTCACGTGACCACCCAGTTAGCATTTGCCGGAGAAACTCGAGGTTTTGCCGAATTTAGCCGAATCTTTCTAGAGGTTGCGTTTGTAGTTGTAGAAATCTTGGCCTCTTCCACATAATCTATTTGTTTTTTTATTTAAAAAAAATAAAATAAAATAAAATAATATATATTTATAAGTTACAAAGAGTGTCTCGACATTAAAAAGTGATTTTTTTGATCATAATTCAATAAATTTTTGTACATCTACGACCAAAAAAAACAGAAACTTCATTATTTTATTACTATACTCTTGTACAGTGAATGCAGCAGACAAATGTCGTGGACAAAGTAGGTGGCGTCAGGAAACAAACGTCAGGAAGCAGTAGGAGTGTTTTGTCCTTATATTTTCATAGTTGTGTCCTTTTTTGTCGGCAAATGTGGACCAACGCAGAAGAAATCTAACAGAACCTGAAACTTTTATGGGACAAAACAGGTAGAAAGACCAACTTTGTGTCAAGTTAACAATATACCAGACAATGTAGTGTGTAATTTAATAGGCTGCGGATATGCCTCACCTCCACCTGCATTTGCCACCAAAGTTTAATTTTTATTTTTTATTTTACATTTTCCTACAAATGACAACCAAGCTGAACAGTAATGTAGTTAGCAGTACTGCCTTTGTAAAGACTTGGTTCGTTGTTCATTGGATCCGTTCATTTTCATACTGCCGGCGCTTAAGCTAGCTAGTTTAATGATGAAAGGCAAATCAGACTGGGTGGTGGGACTTGCCCCCCCCCCCAGTCTGACTTGGAGGACTGATCAACTGACCAATTTTTTTTTTTTTTTTTTTTTTTTAGTTAAGGAATCATCAGTAAATTAACATACAGTTGTATATCTTTGTAATCAGACCCACTAACTTCATTCGTGTAGTTCACAGTAAGACTGTGCGGAAGTTTGTTGCATGAAACAACAGCCACATACTACCAGCCGCCCTCGCCGCTGTGTCTGATTGTGTGGCGTACAAATGATACGGACCCATAAGGGTCGACGTTATTTGCAAGCTTTGCTGTGTGTGAAAGTTGACAGGTGTCCAGTATGTCTTCACCTGTCCATGTGATCGTGGTGGGAGCTGGTTGTCGAGGAGAGAACTACGGCCAGTTTGCTTTCATTCATCCTCAACGCATGAAGGTCAGGACTCAGAGAGCCCCTTGTTGACTCATTGTTTGTTATTAGAGTTTAATAATAAAGGAATAAAGGCGAGTGCCTTTGTAGTTACAGTAACATTGAATATGAACTTGACAACAAAAGCTGCTCCTGTAAAAACATTTTAGAAATGTTTATTGATAACTACTGGCTTCTGCTGTTTGATTTTCTTCTTGTAGCAAATAGGGGGCTTGAAGGGGGGGAAGAGGGATAAATTTTATTTTATTTTATTGTCCAAACTCATATAGACATGCACAGAATTAAAATAGTCCAAACAGCAATTTACATAAAAATCTAAAAATGCAGTAAAAACAAAACGCAGAGAGAAACGCAGCTCTTCAGATAAACATAGTATTGATATATGTAGTGAAAATAAAACAAACAGTATAAAGAGTATTTAAACTGTCCGGTTAGTTTCCAGGGTTTTGGGGGGCAAAACTCAGATAAGAAAAAAAAAGGGAGAGCTGGTAGGGAGTTCCTCATTCTCCTTCCAGAACGCAGGAGATGAATGCACAGCTGGTAACTTCAATTGTCTCTGCACCACCAGGCCAATTAACTCACCTAGTAAAGCAAAGCCAAGTACAGTAGGGGGCCGAGAACACATCCTTGAAGTCACATGTTCAGATTGATGGTGCTGGATGCTTTATTGACGAATTGGACTACCTGTCAGGAAGTTCAGCAGTCAGTTACATAAAGAGGTTTTCAGTTCCAAACAGTCCATTTTCTGTATCAGCTACTGAGGATGGTTTTAAATTAATATATATATATATATATATATATATATATATATATATATATATATATATATATATATATATATAGAGAGAGAGAGAGAGAGAGAGAGAGCTGGAAATATATTTGAAATACTTTCTGATTTGAAACCTAGTAAAGCATCATTCTTCTCTGGTCTACAATGAAACGTTTAGGTTGTAGCTGTTGCTGATCCAAGAACGTTTGCCCGCACCAAAATGCAACAGCAACACAAAATTGAAGATCAAAACGTGTTTGAAGGTGAGTATTTAATAAATCTGAATTTAAGGGATTTTCTTTTCATGATAATGAAATTTACCATTGTTGTTTCCTTTTTAAAAAAAATAAATAAATAGACTGGAAAAACATAGTTGAACGAGAGAAGTTTGCAGACGCAGTGCTAATTTGCACTCCAGATCGCATTCACAAGGTGTGCATGCCATAGGTGTGTTTATTTGGAAAATTCCTCTGTCATCCACGGTGAGGTTTTTGTTAACAAGTTTGTGTTTCATAGGATCCTGCTGTTGCCTTTGCAAAGAAAGGCTACCACATTCTTCTGGAAAAACCCATGGCAGTAAGTGTTTATTAACGACTGCAGTAAATAAAAATGTCTTCTTCATAGCCCGAAAATAAATATTCTGTCACTGTGGATGTGTTTATAAGTTTAGAATTTTCATTTTAAAATAAAATTGCCACTTATTTTTTTCCCGTACATTTTAACTTTTGCTCTCCTTGTAAACCTCTAGACGACAGCAGAGGACTGCAGAGCCATAGTGGAGGCTTGCACTCAGGCCGGTGTGATGCTGTCCGTGGGTCATGTCCTCCGATACGATCCACTCATTCACAAGATCAAGGTAGCTTCGTAATTAAAATGTGTGAACTTTAGCACATTCAGTCATTTGTAGTTCTTCTTGTTGCTTCTTCTCTTTAGTTTTGTTGAATAAAATACATCTTTTGTAAAGGTTTTAAAGTAGTTTTTGAAGGATTTTGATTTATTTCTAGGAGCTCATAGATGCCGGAGTTGTTGGGAACGTGATCCATATACAGCACTTAGAACCAGTAAGAATGCAGACACTGGAGAAATATTCCCAATCCCACACAACCGCATTTACACACCGTTACTTATGTGCTCTGTAGGAACATTTGCGAATAAGTCAGGAGTCACCTAATTGGATGACGGGTAAAGATCAGCGTGAAATTTGCAAAACCTTTCGAACTCGTTGGCTTCTTTAGATTTTAACATAAGTAATTTCAATCCCTGCTTTGCATGTGGCACAAAAGCGTCATCTGCATCAACGTGTCATAAATGATTCGTTTATTCAAAAACTCTCATTCCAGGTTGGGTTTTATCACTTTGCCCACTCATTTGTTCGAGGGAACTGGAGGAATGAAGCAGAGAGCTCGTTTGCTCTGCTGGCTAAATCGTGCCATGACATTGACCTGATTCACCACTGGGCTGGAGCCCGCAGGTAAACAAAAACCAGCCGTCAGTGATAAACCAGGGTTGTTTGTTGCTCAGAACATTAATACACTTTTGGTCCTCTAGTAAGTTAATCAATATACTGACATACTGCAATATATTAGATGCTACATTTCAAGTTATTTTGTCACTATTTACACCACTTTAGGTTTGGGGGCTTCATATCTTGAAGATAAATCATTTCCTTTTGTCCTTGGCAGGTGCGTAAAAGTCACATCTTTTGGATCTGTTAGTCACTTCCGGAAAGAAAGTAAGGTGCGTCCACGCTATCAGTAATTGTGCTCGGTTTATATCTTTATGTCTGTTGTGTTATCTCTCTAAAAGCTGTTTATGTAGAAAGCAACAAACCCTGCCAATTTTAAGCTTTTAAAATCGGTGCACTTGTAATCTGTTTTTCTAAAATGTTAATGATGATTTGTGTATCCCATCTCTGCAGACTTGTTTGCGCTCCATGCGTATGGCGTGTACTTTCTTTTTCCTGATTAGTTCATCTGGTTCTTTATACTTTTTCTGCCTTTACTCTGGTCTTGATGACAAGCAAAAGTTTTGAGTTCGGTCCCTGAGGCCTTCCTGTTTAAAATGAAATGAACTGTTTCTTTGGCATTGCAGCTGCTGCATTCTGTAAATAATACAGTAAAATTAATCTTAGCTCAATCATTTTTTTCATCAGCCAACAGGTGCTGGAGATCGCTGCGTCGATTGTTCAGTAGAAGGAACCTGTCCGTACTCGGCATGCAAAATCTACGTGGACAGAGTGAAACGGGTAAACGTAATTCACGAATAGCTTACTTTATTATTGCAGTAAGGAATTGCTCACTCTCTGTGCATATTTTAAAAACAGTGTACATGTGTATGTATTTATGCTAGGGTCACACTGGCTGGCCGGTGTCAGTCATCTGCCCAAACTCACTCCCTGACATCGAGTCAGTAACTGAGGCACTGAGGAGTGGACCATACGGCCGATGCGTCTATGAGTGTGACAATGATGTTTGCAGCAACCAGGTTGGGGAAACTCATTATTTCCGTCTAACATTGTACATTACTTTCTCAGTCTCGCCTACCTAAAATATTTTGTTACCAAACTCCAGTGTCCTACTGGATTCCTACATTTTGAGATCTCAAAAATTTTAGAAAAAAACTGTTAGAGAACTTGAGTCCATCCATCTATTATCTCTTACTTTTGGCTAAGAGAGAGAGAGGATTCAATATTGTGCAACATATCACTGTATTTCTATTGGGAAAAGTCAGTCATGCCAAAAAAATCATTCCCAGACATTAGAAGCGTTTCGGGCAGCAGAACAGTTTCCAGAATCCAAAGTTCTTTTTTTTGTCCGGCCTTTCAAGACACCAATTTTTCTGCTAAAACCAAGATTAAATGAAAGCTTAGATACATAATTTTGACCAAGTCTATAACCAAATAAAATCACAATCCATTTTAAGTAGTAGTGTCTTAAATAATGTCTTAAATAATAATGTCTTAAATAATGTTTCAACTGTCTGAAACATTATTAGTGACCAGGTTTGATGATTATTTTTGCAAAAATAAGGATTCCTCCAGTCTCAATGAACAGTGATGGTCTCAGTGATGGTTTATCTGTGATATCCTTGCAGGTAGTAAACATGGAGTTCGAAGGGGGCTTGACGGCTGCCTTCTCTATGGTGGCTTTCACCGAGGACATCTGCCAACGAAAAACAACTATATATGGCAGCAAAGTAAGATCACAGGTCCTCCTTATGAATATGTCATTTTCCCTAAATGTCAGCCGCACCCTTGAACGAAATTAACTGTGTCAATAGCTATTGGTTTGTAATTCAGAAAATTTGTTGTCGGCTTTCTCCCTGATCGGTCCGTTGTGCTTCTTGGTCGGTCTTCATGCTGCTGTTTATTCATTAATGATCTCTAACAGACCTCAAGAGCCTTTACTGAACTGCTGGATTTATACTGAGATGAGATTAGACACAGTTTGCTATTCAGGTAATGATGGCAATCGGTTGTGTTGTCAAAAGCTTTGGACACCATGCATACTTTTGTGTTGGATTATCACAAGAAATACTCCCAAAAATATTACCATAAGAAAAAAAATAATAATAATAATACCCAACTATTGTAACTAAAGTGACATTTAGTATACTTTCAAATTAGTCTTGAAATTAAGGTGGGTTTTCTTTTTTTTCTTGCTGTCTGATAAACTGTGTCCTTCCAGGGCGAGATGTCTTATGACAGCAAGGAAATATGCGTGTTTGACTTCCTGACCCAGAGAACCACAAAGCACACGGCGAGCAGCGAAGCGCTCAAACACTACGGCATGGCTGGGCACGGGGGAGCAGACTACCACCTCATGAATGCTTTTATTTCCGCAGTGGCTGTGAGCATCGCTCTCTTTTTTTTTTTTTTTTTTTTTTTAATTCCTCTTCAATAAAAACCTCACCTTTTAGAAGGAGCTTGTGTTTCTGTGGGTACAAATCTACGCAAACTTTGTCTCTAGCGCTTTGATATTTGTTTGTGTTTGCAGAACAACGATCCGTCCATGATTCGATCCGGCCCCGAGGAGACTCTGATCAGCCACTTGCTCGTGTTTGAAGCGGAGCGATCGAGGGTGGAGGGCAGGGTGGTGTACTGTGGAGACAGCGCCAGACAGTGAAACGGCAGTAGGTCACTGTTCAAGTTCTTTTAAATAGAACTGTTGCAAATTACTAAAAGAATTTAAAGTGAAAAGAATCCAAATCATGCGTGGAATATAACTAGAATAATTTCTGTTGATTGAAATAGGATGTACTTGTCATAAATGGCATTATGATGTTGGTGTTATGATTGCTATTTTACTAATTAGCTTTGTAATGTTCCTTTTAAATGTCCATACCAGTGTATTTCTCACTTTGAGGAGCTTTTTGTGGAACTCTAAGAATGAACACACAACTAACGAAGCTTCATGTGACTGAGGAAGTAATTATCTCGTTTTGTTATGATTTTTTTAATTGCTGTTTTCTGAAATTATCAGATTTCAGGGCAGGGATGTCTGTGCACTTTACACAATAAAATTTCAGATTTTCTCAGCCTCTGTAAGAATGTTCTGGAAACTGAGTAATATTCTTGGTTCATAATTGTATTCATGATCTACAGAAGCTTTTGGAACAAGTCGCTGTTTACAACGACATCAAACTGTTTTTTCTGCTTGTTTCTTGGGTTATCTTGGTAATAATCTTAAGATTATGTTGCAGTGTAAAGAAAATTAAAAACAATGCATACACTACGGCTAAATGAAATTGAGTCAGGTGTTGCATCCAAGTTGTGTGGGTGAAGTTAGATTTTTTTAACAAAGGGTGTAAACTGTTTCTGCAGGGTTTAAATTTGAATTGTTTCATTTTTACACCCATACATCCCCATTTTCCACAAAGGTTCTAATCTCATTTAATTTGGTCTTCAATCTGTACTCTCTTTTTTTTTATAGTTTCTCCATCATTTTTTAAAAAGAGGTAATTTTTACTGATGTAGTTAGGACAACCTATCCTCTAATACGCTCTTCAGCAGAATTAACTTTGGTTCAGCACATCTGGTACCACAGCATCACAATCAGATCAAAATCTGGGCTTTGACTTGGCCCTGAACTTTGCATTTCCAAATTCTCACCCAGTCTAATCAATGTTGGCTGAATAAACTGTAATGCTTACACTCTAACCACTAGGTGTCACTATTGTACTTTACATCTCTGAAATTGAGGAGTTGAAATTAAATGCGTTGACAGTGGTTTGCTAAATTTGACCACGAAAAAGTGGTGTTGTGATCAATAGAACCTCTAAAAAATGTGACATTCATCACTTGACCCAGACGGGCAATAACACTGATGTATAAAACAGGAGAGAGACAGAAATGCAGTCAAACTGCTTTAATGCAGCAGATAGTCAACACACCTATCTGCTCACAGAGAACAGAAGGGCTAATGACCTTCTGTTTTCTGTAAATGGGTTTCTGATTCATATCTTATTTCTTCTCATTAAGTCAACCACTGTACTCTAGGATTAAATCACAAGGGTGTACCTGTTTTCCACCCAGTATTCTGTTCTGTTCAGTACCTTTAATGTACAGTGTCTGCTAAAGTTTTCATGACTTTTGAAATGTTTCCCCCATATGCTGTGGTGACACCTTTCTACAGTAAGGAGGGGTGAAGAGGGTCAAAGTTGGTATGAAGGTGGATAAAGCTTAATACAATCCTGGCAACAAAATTTGTTTAAAGGCCGCAAAGTCTTGAGATTATGATCAATCAGCCAGGGGAAGAATGGGATGGTTTCAATGAAAGAATATTGATGTGCTCCAATGACCCAATCAAGGTTCAGATCAAGATTCAGTCAGGAATTTATGTCAAAATGAAAGTAGCTTTTTACAGACACTCTGAGTTCGGTTGTAATCTATTTTGCAAAGAAAGGCAGAAATGTTTGTTTTTAGATGTGCGAAGCTGATCGAGGAAGTATACCCTAAGAGATTTGGAACTGTACTTGGTTCACACTATTAAAAAAAATAAATCAAAGCATTGGAAATGTATTAATACTTTTGTAAGGTACTCTCTTATCCATGGTATGGTGAGATGTCAGTTTTAAAAAGTATCACTTAAATTCTCAAACTAAATTATAACACATCATCTGTTCACATCCAGCACGGAAATTTGGCACATTTCCCACATTTATATATACAGCAAAGGTTTTACACGTAAAATGTAATATCTAAATGATTGTAATCAGCTGATCCACAGATACTTGTTCCTAGTTGTAAACCTTTACTAACAATTGCATGGCATTTAAAACAAGACACACAAAAATTGCACAAAGTGGGAAGCTGTCAGTTTCTCGTGGTAAATAAAGCATTAAAAACCTGATTCTAAAGTGAATTTTTAATAGACACTAACCGTGTGTAGTTTGTTTTCTATGTGACATGTGGGATTGAGTAACATCCTGTTTCCAGCAGATTCCCAGCTGTGCTTTGTGGTCCCCCCACCACTCCTTTGTCCTGTCATTTTCCTTTGACATTCCACAATCTGAAAACACGGCCCAGTCAGCAACTCCAGAAAGGAAGTCACTTATGTACATTTTGTGTTGCATTTCAAAGGAATCTGCATCTAATTTTTCAAAGGCCCCATTCCAGTTTATTCCTTTTTCTTTAAAAAAAAAAATCAAACTTCAATTCTTCCAGTCATACTAAATTTAATATTTGACAAAGATATAATCTCCATAGGGAAAATAAGTTAAACCACTGATTTAATTAATTTACTAAGGGAAATAAGCTGTCCAGACCAGTCAAATCCTGTGTGAGTAATACTCTTTTGATTTGAACCTACCACACAGGTCCGATTACTATGCAGAATCAATAAATCACTTAAATAGAGCCTGTCTAAGAACATGAAGTAGGTCAAAGTAGGTCATTAAGCCCTGATCCACAGAAATTCAACAACAGGTGAGAAACAGAGTCAATGTAGAAGTTTACCACTTCTTCTGCTTTAAAGACTCACCATGAGGGACAACATTGACAAACTGAGGAAACATAGGACACTATTGAACCGTCCCAGAAGTGCCAAACAGAAATTGTTCCAAGAGAGCACCAAAGACTCATCCAGGAGGCAAAATAAAACAAACAAGCAAAACATGTAAAGGTCTGCAGACCTCACTAGTCTCAGTTAAGGTCAGTGAAACCAGATGGAGACGGGGCCTCCATGTAAGTCAACTGCTGACTCATGTCACATTTGGTTAAAATTTAACCAGCTTAGTCAACTCCATGTACGGTATTAAGTTTAAATACTATTTAAAAAGATAAAAATGTGTCTTAAATGGATTTAGTGCAGTGCTAAATCCTGAACAGACTGACTTCCCAATATATGTTAGTAACTTTTCTCTGATTGCTTTTGTGGAACCCATTGAAAGACAAGTTAAACCAGAATATACCTGTTTGGTCCCTCATTTTAACTTTGAATGAAAATGTATGTACTGTAATGTTGTTAGTTAGTTAGTTAGTTAATTAGTTAGTTAGTTTTATAAGTTTTCTTTGGTATAAAAGGCCTATTAAATAAATATAATTGTCCAGCTCCAGTTGGAGATGTTTTCAGGAAGCAAAATGGACTAAGCTCCTTATACATGTAATCACCATAATATTACGTTATAATATAAGATAATAAGGTAATTCAATTGGCTGTACCTCAGATGGTGTGGATCCAAGTCTACATCGGTTTCATTTTTTAATCTGTGTAATCTATTGAGCAAGTAGACCCTTAAACCTCCTAGAGTGATTCATACTACTGACATATGTTACTCTTGCACATCACCTTGAACAGCTTCCCAGATTGTTATCAGGACGTGACATTGCATTATGGAGGGAGGTGTCCTTAATTGCCCTGTGAACATCGTAATGTCAACAGCAGCCTTCCTGGACCTTTGCAACACAAGCAGGATGACTAACTCCATATTGTATCCCGCACTCTATATTCATGGAGGGATCATAATGTGTTGAAGATTGTATTGTCCAAGTTATATGATTACTTTGGAAAGAAGGGTGTGTAGAGAAATGTGACGAAATGGTTGAATCAGAAAAAAACTTTGACCTGCTGCCAGAATGGGATTACGGGAGTGATGTGAACAGACACGCCTTCAAGCGGAGAATTACTTTTCCATTTGCTGTGATTTGATGGAAATTTTGAGAAATCTCAGAGTAAGCCAAACAAGACCACATTTCTGACTCATATTTGAGATTTTTTTCTCTCTCGCTCGCTGAGGTTTTTACCGATCTGGTTGAAAGGATCCACTTCCATTGCTAACAGGTTACACACAAACACGGTAAAGATATTGTCCAGGAGACAAGTTTGCAAACTGAGTCAGCAGCTGCATTTTTCAGTGACTCAACCCATCCACCTCCAAGCCTTTTCATTTCCTTGCGCCCTGCCCTCCCTCAGCCCTCCTTCACACACAAGGCCATTAATATGTTTAACACGAGCTCTAACCCCACTACATCATCACTTCCTCCTACTTTGAAACGTCTTCCAATACACACAAGCAGAAAGTGAAGGTCTTCCAATTCAGTGAACAGGCTTTTTGGATTATTGCTGCTTTTTTCACTGCTCCCCCCTTTTTTCTTTTTTGCCTAAAGCAACATTTTTTCCCATTGATGAAAAAGGCTAATGACAGGTTGTGACGAATGAGGTGGTGATTTATCTGCGGAGCTGCTTATCCTATAATCTTCCAAACAGTTTGCTTCATGAAACAGTCCCCGTTGCCAGGAAGATGCATCTCTCCCCCCCACGCCACCCACTTCTGCCCTGATTTTGCTTTCCTTCTGGCTGCTTCCAGGCAGCGATTTCCAGTCCCGGGGGTTTCTCAACGTCACAGTTCCTCTGTGTGAGAGAGGCACCCGTGAACGAGGAAGTGGAGTAGGAAAGAATAGAGGGGCGCAGTAAACTGTAAAACATGGAAAGAGTCTGGCTCCGGCTGTGACTCAACAGGAAGCGGCAGAGCTGGAGTAAGTGAGGTGAGAGACGGAAAGGGGAGGAGGAGGAGGGCTGGAGTGGGAGAAGAGAAAGAGTGGGAGTGGGAGGAGAAGAAGAAAGGAGTTTGGAAGACTTTGAGTTATTGAGTGCTGTGCTGACCACGTCTTTTTCTCGAGAAATCAGTGGGCTTCTACCATACCATGTACCAATCATGACACAGACACGCTGTAGATAAACATCAAACAAAGACATCATCCTGCATGACTAGTCTACTGCCATCCTGAAGTAGACTTTGTGTGTCTTGGTCTGATTCAACCAGACTTTGCTCTCAGGACACAATGTCAGAACTGCAAATGTTTCAAATATTGACTTTTGTTTCATTCCACGTACTCTGACAGGAACAAGTTCAAAACACAGCCGGACGAACCTCGCTTCATCAAGGCCGAATAAACAACGTCTTACTTAGAAAAAGAGGTGAAAGCCCAAGAACGTCCAAATTACAACCTAGGTTCATTTTATTTTATTTCCTGGTACTGTGAACATGTTTCATTTATCGGAATTAGAGTTCAGATGAAAGTTGTGGTCAAGATGTAACTAACATACCCTTACAGCCACGTAAACCTGGTGAATTTCAACTTTAGGTAAAACAAAACAAACAAGAAGAAGACGTGCATCATTCCTGCCGGAGGAAAAGAAAATGTCAAAATTAACAAACAAAAAAAATTACTTAACCTTAGATTTAATTTGTGTTGCACAATGAGAGACATTTCACAAATCAGTAAATGGTTCTGACGTGACCTGCGTAGGAGAGCGTGTGGGTGGACTCGGTGCAACAGAGAGGTTTTATAGGACAAAAAACAATCAACTGGCATTGTTGATGCTGGCTTGTTTCCGAAGCCTTCATGTTGTAGTTGACCGGTTGTGTTTGTGTTTCCTTACGCAGACAGAAGCTGAAGGACAGCACAGAAAGCCGTTCTCCTGGCAGAAACTGGAAAGTGGATTTGTTAATCTGGACTAAACAGAGCTTCAGACTTCAAACCATCGGTATAAATAAATCCTCAGGGCAACAGACACTTCAAATATGGAGCTGGATCAAAGCACCTCTTAAAAGTGTTGGAGAAGCATCAAATTTAACCCTCCGATCATCGCTGCTCCATTGCAATATCACTTTAAGTATGCCCTTATAATGAGGACCTAAACCTGTGTATGCAATGTAAATCATAAACCTACACAATGTATTCACCACATGCTATTTGGAAATCTGGGTAGGCAATCACCCACTGTCCCACATGATGTGTTTGCTCAAAGGAAGACTCATAGCTTTTCAGTAAGTTTGATTGATTTCATATTGAGCAATGAGATGCGTGGTTGGACCTTTGACCTTGGTGTGACATAATGGTGAAACTTCTCCCTTTTTTTTCACGTTGGAGCCCCAAAGCTTCAAAAAACACATTTTGTCACCTCAATGTGTTTGAGGTTTTCTGCTGGTTTCCACTCACTAGATCACTTTCTTTCCCCTGTATGACTTTAGCCAAACTCCACGGAGGACTTCTTATGAACTTTGTCCAACAATGGTTGTCCTCTGGCCAAATACAACTCGTCTTACATGAAAGTCCCAGCTAATAGCTGTCCTGTTCTGTTCTCACACCTGAGCTATAGGTTTCAGGAGATCCTCCAGAGCAGTTTCTTGGCTGCTTCTCCAAGTGATGCCTTCCTCGTCCCGGCAGTCAGTTATAGTCTCATCTTGGTGACTTTGAGACCTCTAAAACGTTTTCCCTGACCCTTTGGCTGTGTTCCTTTGGTCTTATTGTTGCTGTTTCTTCACTGATGTTTTTTGGGGGGCTTTTTTTTTTTTTTTTAAACAAACCTTCACATCAAACTCCAATGAACTACATTGAGGATGGTGGTTGTAATATGACCCAAAAAAAAGTCAAAGGATATAAATACCGTTGCATTCCTCTGCACATATTTGTCTTCTTAAATTAAGAAATAAAAAGCATTCATCCTTTAAAAAATGTGCACAGTTATTTCTCAAATGTCATCATGTAAAGATGATTTTGAATGTTTTCCACTTTGGCCCGTGGCCTCCGTGTGCGCATGTGGTGACCCTGGATTCTGAAAGCTGTAGGAGTCGTTGTTGGGGCGAGCCAGCCTCCCAGAGCAGAGGTCAGATCATTTCCTGCTCTCACAGATTTCTGTCTCTCACAGCTGTCAGTGCTGCAAGAAGCCCACCTTCCACATCTGTAGCACGTCCTACCTCCGCACTTATTATTATTTCTCCCCCCCCTCTTTTAAGGATCAGTTTGACCGAAGATATTGATGGACATTTAAAAAAATAATAACATAAATTATAAGATAGGATTTCCCTGCAAGAAAGAGAGGATGAAAGAAGTTTTACATCTGGTCAGAAAATAAACAATGTCTCGAGGTGGAACAGGAGATGAAGGAAGGAGGTGTTAACATGTGTTTTCTGTGGTAAATATCTCTGTGTGGGTGGATCTGCCGACATGGTGACACAGGGAATTCTCTTATGGAGGAACCAGCTGTGCGTAAACATGTAAAGGTAATTAGAAGCAGCACCACAGACTGCAGGCACACATGCCTGGTGCTGCTTTCAAAGTCACGGTCAACCTGTCCTCTGTTTGAGTTTCACATTCTTTTGACTCCTAATGCTCTTAGCCCCGGCAAATCTGTTAATGGTCACTGCAACTAAAGTGTGACACACGACAGTTTTGTTTATGAGACACGCGCCTTAGTAAAACGTGAAAAATGCTTCATTTACAACAGATGCAGGTTTAAATAGTTAAAATTCCTATCCGTTGAGTTGACGTTTAAAGCACTTGCGTGCACATAGTTGTCAAATTCTGACGGGTGCAACATCTGCAAGGAGAAATGCTTATGAAACTCTTGCCTCTAATTAGCTGCAGCTCTTTGTTGCAACCCACCGCTTCCTGCAGCGCGACACGCTCTAGTTCCCATTTCGTTTTTTTTTTTTTCCTTTTCCAGCGAAACGCCTAGGATTTTATGTTATTATGAGTGATTTGAAACACACTCCCTCTCTTTGCCTGTTCTCTGCGGTCTGATCGTTAAACGGTTGGGGTTTGACAAGCCGGAGGAGGAGGGCAGGAAAAAAATCAGGCTCCTCAGATGTCTGAGTGGGTTTCAGACCAAAACCTTTGACCTTCTTCTGTGAGCAGACAGCTCAGTTGCTGAACAACCGCCGGCTGTCGGGAGGAAGAGAGGGGAATGAGCTGACAGATGAGGCCAGGGTTCTGTTTGATTGCTGGACAGTTTGACAAAGGCAAGAATTGACAAAAAACGTGAGCTGTGTTTAAGAAAAAAGAAGGTAAAATTTCAATTCTGGCCAGAGTTGATGGGAGGCCTGGATGGAGCTACAAACAGGGCAATCCTGCAAGGAACTCGACTGGATTGTATTTGCTGTTTACAAATAAAATCAAACAGCCACAGCTACAATGTAAGATTAGTTCAAAGCATGTTCTCGTATTAGAATGGCCTAGTCAAAGTCTACCCCAAATTCAACTGACAATCTGTTGCAAGAATTAAAAATGAATGTTCACAGACACTCTGAAAACAATCTGACACAGATTGAGTCACTTTACAAATTAGATTGGGAATAAATGTTATTCTCCAGATGTGCAAAGCTGTTAAAGTCTTTCCCCCAGAAGACCTATACCTGTCTTTCCCCCAGAAGAACAGTCTTACAAAATAGTTTATATTGTTAAAAATATATATATAAAAATGCATTTTTCATGAACTCTTATTTGTAAACAAATACACAAATAATAAAGCTTCTCTGCTTGCTTCACAGTTATGTGCCGCTGTTGCTGTTGCTAGGTGTTGCTCTGTCCCATTAATTAAATATAAAGATATAGGTTTTGACCAAGATGCTTCTTTGAATACGAATAAATGAAAACCCATTAAAAATTTGGCATTTTTAAAGAATCCCGCTGTGCAAATGTTTTTCATTTTGAGGTGGTGTTTTTTTTTTTTTTTTTTTTTTTTTATGAATGGTGGAATGTTTCATGTTCAGGGAGATTTTTCCCCTTTAAGGCAGCAGTGGGTGGAGTTATAGAAACGCTCACAGGGTGTTGGATCCATTTATAAGGAGTTATGGAAAACTGCGTCACTCTGACCAAATCGGTTTTACCTCCCTGCCTTGTTGACAGAGGAAGGATGTTGCACATGGCTCGGTTCTGATGGGACTCCGGCTCACCACAGCTACACTTTTGGATCCGAACGCCCTGGAGAAGCAAGGACCGATCAAGACGCTTTTACGTCATGGAGACAGTCGGAATTTATTTCTGGTAAGAGTTTTCAGTTTTTGCCGAGTGCTTTACTGCTGATAAACTGGGGCTTAAAATTGTGAATAAAAGAGTGACTGGAAATTACACAGGCTTGTGTATAATATAAAAAGAACACGTTGTCTTCTTGAACTAGTTTACGCTGTGAATTTAGGGAGCCCCTTTGCTCACGGGAATTTAATTTAGAAAACATCCTCTGTTCAGAAATAGTTTTTAATGGGTTTAGAGCCTTTATTTAAAGCTGAAGTTTAAATTATGCTCTTTTTAATGGGTCTAAAACGCTACTAACCCACATAGATTAGGTTATTTGTCCAGAGGGACTCTCAGCTGTCCTGCTGTCCCGCTACTGGATTACTGACAGATTTGAAAGGCAACCAGTTCCATTTGGGCCCGACAGAGGGCGCTGAAGAGACCCGAAATGCCCTGCAAAACCATAATGATATATTTACTATGTAATATAGCTGTGAAAATCTATTCAGATAAACTGTTCAGATACAGTTTTACATTTTGTCATGTCACAATCACATACTCTATCTCATTGATACACATTACGTTTTTCAAAAATGTTTTTAAGTTAAGTTTCGTAGAAAAAATCTCTACCTAAATGCCTACCTACCTATAGAAACATTCTTATCCTTTGGTACTACCTGGTTAGTTGACCAACTTTGTTACATTATGCTTTTTCGTATTGACTTGTAGGCTTAAATTTCCATGTCTGAAGTTAGAAAAACAAATAAAAGCTCCTTATTAATAAAAAAATATATATACGGTATATAAAGACAATTTTATCACCAACCCTCATTGCAAAAGCCAACATAGCTGCCTTGAATGTAAAACGATGGCTGGCTGCAGTAAGTAGTTGTTTTGCACTTCTTGTGATTTTTACTTTACCGACTGTTGAACTTTCTTCAGCAATCATCATGCCACAGTGTCAAAGTACGATTTGCTGAAAAACACATTGAAATTAGCCTGGATTGCTAATAGCTGTTGGCCTGGTTAATGAACAAACTGCATAAAAAAAAAAACAGAGCGTAGGTGGCCACCAGCACTGTTCCTGGTTTACTGTTGTCCAACTACATAAATTCATTTAATCCAGTCCAATTTAGAAATAATTAATCCTGAATTACCTATACCGACTGGTATGATACCACAATTTAATAACAATAGTTATACAACTATAGTATATTGTTTGATACACGTTTGCTGTAAATTGTAATATTCACTGGATCGATCTTCGTAAAATCTTTTTAAAAAGGAAAACAGGGCTGCTCATTTTATGACCTGTTTTCTGCGTACATGACTGTATGAACGGCCTCATAGGCGTGTCCACACTTTTTATGGTTTACAATGGGTAATCAGGTTCCAGAATTCATTCATGCGCCTTAAAACTCCATGACACACTTGGGCTGAACCTTCTACATTTTTGTGTGTGCGTAAACTGAAAGTAAAGTTGTGTCATATGCAGTAGATGGATCAGAATATTAGTTTTATTTAGAGGTCTGTGTGTGGTGAGAGTAATATTAATCCTCTGCTACGCACTGTACCGACCATTGTCACTTTAAAACTTATGTTTTGGTGATTGGCTTGGACATAGAACCTTTACAGGATGTGACCTAAACGTATATGTTATTAAAAAACACTTGATGTTGAGAATAATGTTGGGAGTCTGCTACATTTATTTATTTAAACTTTAATAAAACCAACTCTAGTTTTTAATAGGCATTTGAATCTGATTTCCTTGGTAAAAAAAAAAAAAAAATTTGATTTTTCTTACATTTTTATCATGTGAATGAAGGTGCTCTGGTCAGATGAAAAATTAATTTAAGTTAACACAGGCAAAATCACTGTGCATGTGGCAGAAAACCAACAATGCACATTCACTGTAAAATAAAAATGTCTCTAAAATCCTGTCAGCTGTGGCTACCAGAATTTCACCGTATAAATATGGTAAAATTCTGAATCTTACCATATAATTCACAGGTAAATTCTAAGGTATTTTACCGTAAATTAGAGACGCTTTTTTTAATTATTATTATTTTTTTACAGTGTTGTGACACACCATCCCCATGGTGAAACATGGCGGTGGCAGCATCATGCTGTGGGTGAGGCTGCAAAGGAGAACATTATTTATTTATTTTTTGTTATTGTTGTTGTGGCTATGAAAACTTCATGCTAGTTGGTAAGCTCTCACTACACACTGATGAATTTGTGGATTTAAAGCACATCGTTTGTGCAAACACGCTGCAACAATAGGCTCATCCATACCCGTCTGACCGGTGAATAGCCTGACAAATGTGAGGTTGGTGCTCGCCAAGGACAACACATCCAGCTCCTGCGCGACCTAAAACAAACTGCTTCCTCCAGCTTGCGCCTCGTCCTTTGCCGTGTGCCAACATGCACATTCACCATGCGCGGTGCAGGCTCATGCTTCGGCCACGCCGGCCCGTCTCCATGGCGCATCTCTCGTCCTAACCTCATGGGAGAGTTCACTTGTATTTTCAGGCTTGGCCGACTCTGGGCCGGGGTTGCACAAAGGCCCATTCACGGCTGAGAGTGCTTCCATTCATGGATGCTGAGTAATTGCCCACAGAATTCCTAATTGTTCAGCGTCTTCCATCGCCGAGGCTCTCGGGTGGAAATGACGCCACAGACGGGTTGGTTTAGGAACGATATTAATATTCAAACACACAGATGAGCCAATGTTTTGTTTGGTCTGTGTGGGGTTAACTTTGCGTGCTTCGAATGGTTTGCTTCCCACTTCAGTTCTCATACGTCTGACGCGGGCCTTGAAACAAAGCGGGACTGAGAGACTTAAAGGACGATGCGATGGTGAAGGTGTTGACCTCCCGTCAGGTGGGATTAATTAATAGCTTCATTTTAATGTGAAATGCTCCTTTTACTGCAGCTGATAGCGCATTAAGTGTAAATTTTCAATGTTTTTGACATCAAGAGGGATTAGATATTTCCATTAATATGAAAATAACTACTGGTGGGATATAAAAGATGCAAAAGTACTTTGACTTGGATGCTTTTTCCTGGACTGATTTGATAAACTACCAAATGAGACCCATTGTCTTCCTGGGATCAAACTGAGTTTTCTGTTTTATCACTGTACTTTGCTTGTGTTTGTGGTTCCGGATCAGAGGAATGCTGTACAATTAGCCCCTGTTGAGCAGGCGGATACTGCCATGTTTCATGGTCAAAGAGAGAGAGGGGGAGAGAGGAAGGAGAGTGAGGAGAGCCGCCTCCCCCTCCCTCACACACATCTGACCCGAGGTTGTGCAACAGCCTGAGAGTACAAAGCGAAACATACTGTTCAGCAGCTGCTACAGTAGACTGAAGTCATTTACTAGGCTGTTGCCAGTTTTTTTTTTTTTTCTTAGACGTTTCCATAAAATTGGTCACAAGTACAGCATGTTTTAATGTGTCTTGTGCCAGAAAAAAAAGAGGGATTGTATTTGTGCGTACAGATCTACAGTGCTGCACAAAGAGCCAAACTTTCCTGTTATCTTTTTAAACATGACATGATGAATAGTTCACTATTATCTCTGCAAAGCTTTCAAAGTTTTTTTTTTTTTCATTCTCTTAGTTTTTTAGTTTGTGCGTGTGTGTGTGTGTGCGCGTGTGTGTGTGTTTGTGTTAAGCTGCACGTCTCTGACGTAAGATATACCGAGTGTGGAGTCGACACAAAACAAACAGCTTGCTCTTTTTTTCTCCTACGCTTGTCTGCTTTTCGAATTTTTCAAGCACATTCCGTGCAGTACTGAAAGTAAACACGATTTACTCACGTTTGATGTCGCAACAAATTCCTGAAAGTGTCCTTTTGCCGTGACGTCTAAAGATTCCCACACATTGAGAAAGTTTTTAATTTTGTCTTTACAACACCAAACTTCCCATGTGCTTTTCTTGGAAAGTACATGGAAAGCAGATGGAAAAGGCTGTCATGTTTTTTTTTTTTTTTTTTTTACAAATAAAAGCCAGCTTTGCACATCTACGAGCTAAAAATAAACATAAACTGTGGCAATCTACAAATTCAACTCTTTTTTTTTTTTTAAGCTTTCATTCACTAGTGACGCTCTCCTTGCCACTGTTACAGATTTGAGCAGGCAGAGTGAATATTTGTCCTGTCAACCGATTCTACCACCTGAGCAGTGTATCACTGCAGCTCCTCCAGAGATTTACCATATGTTTCCCAGCTGGCCATGTTGCAGTCGTGCCGTATTTGTTTTGTTGTCAAATGATGGACTGAACAGTTTGTTGTGAAATGTCTAAAGCTTAGGAGATTGTTGTATGACATAACATTGCTTCAAACTCTTTATCTTCGACCTGTCTGGTGTGTTGATGACACAAAATCAATCAATCAACACCAGTAAATTCATGTTTTTGGCTGTAATTTGACAAAAATTAAATAGAACTACTCCTGGTTAAACGTAATTAAGCTTTTTAGTTTTGTTCACATTACGTTTAACTGTGTTGTCGTTATTTAAACTGACTGGTTTAAGATTAACTTAATCGTTGCTGTGTTGAAACAACTAAAACAAACTATTAAAGTTGCTAACGTGTGCTATTTTTCAGTTGAACCTGTGTAATACTTCTTAAAAATATGTACTGTTATGATTAGGACTCAAGAAATTTAGAAAATAAACAAAATGGCAGCAAAAAATATAGTACATTGATGGAGACCATTGAAATATTACAAGAAAGTAAATTTCAAAGAAAAGCCGTGGTTTAAAACGCTTTGGCTGCGCTGTACACTACCTCGTTTAAAAACACTCACAGCTTCCTGCACAGCTGCCATCGAGTCAGTACTTATTTACTGCTAAAGGCTTTTATGATTATGATCTAATGTCCCCACTTCTCTTAAAGTATTTAATCAGATAAGATGATGACTCTTTTAATTGCCGGGCGTGTTGCTCAGGGTGGAAGACTTGAACTGTACACCCAGTTCAGGTAGCTTTGCTATGAGCCTTTTTACACCAGTAAATCCTGTTTAAACCAAAGCAAAGATAATGCCCACAAGCCAAACATGAAAGAGTGTTTATTTTATTTCTGATTTTTTTTATTTTTTATTCAGCTTCTGTAACAAGTGCGTCTGTGTGTGTTCCCACCAGCTTGTTGCTGCGGCTGCTGCCTAAAATGAACCTTTGATGGGTTTGATGGAGCTGACTGGCGTCGGAGCTTCGCATCAATGCCTTTCAGACCTTCTTGAATATTAGGAACATCCTTTCTGCCGCATCATGGATGGAAGTCAAAGTAACTACTGGGGCCACCAAGAACTGCACGGGTAAACAAATGTTGATTAAATATTACAGAAAAATGAAAAAAAAAAAGAAGGTATATTTATGTGCTTTGTTTGGAAAGACCCCCAAAAACCCCAAACCCTAAATCAGGTTTCTCTGTAAGTGCTGTACAGAGGAAATAAGCAACATGGCTGAAAGCAATGTAACACAGTAACATAAAACATGTTTAAAAGATTCACCTAACCTGTAATAACAAGTATGTGGAACACATTTTCTGTTACATGCATATTTGTTGTCACTCAGCACATAATAACTGATTGACAGCGGGTTACATGCAGGAATTGCTCACACACTCACACATGAATCTGTTTTGCTTTGCAGAGTGTGCTTCGGCCTGAGCGCTGACATGGACCACAACCTGACAGGGCTTCAGCAGCAACAAACGGCCAGGGAGTTTAACCGTGAGTCAGATATTACTGTTATTTTTAACTTGCTGAACAGTAACCGAGGAAGATGCCACGGGTTGCCGCGCCCGCCACTTTTACTGGAACACCCGGTGTAAAAAGCCTCAACGTGAGCTAATCTTTTCTTGCAGTAGCATCACCTCACACTGAAAATCTGAATAAAAATTCAACCTTTGTGGGATTTAGAGATGGACTTCTGTTTAGCAATATATTTATACTGCTGTAGCTGAAAAGTCCTAGGTTCTAGGAATACCTAATTATTAATCTAAAGTGTGACTTGGGGGCTTTTTGGAACAACTTAGCTTGGGCGCTCCAGCAAACGAGGTTAATGCAGATCGAAACATTTTGTACATTTTTTTTAATGACAAAGTATTTTTAATTTATTTGCCATGTTTTTAGGTAGAGATACAAACATCCAGATTCAAACATGTAGAGATCCTGACTTTTTCTTACTCAAAAACAGAGTTGGGCTCAGCGATCACTAAGTTAGACTGAATGCAGCAAAGCTATTTGAAGAAAGTTCACTTTTTTGTTGCTGGCAATAAATTAAATACATTTAAAAAGAAAAGAAAATAAATGGTTTACCTTTTTTGTTAAAATTATTATTATTAATTTTAATATCTGAGACCCTTTTCTAAACCTGCAATAGTTAATTTTTCCCTGCTTTGTCTTATTAAAGTATTTCATGTTAAAATTATTTTACTTTATTTTTGTGGATAAAATAGTACATTTAACTTATCAGTTTTATCCCACAGTGCAAATGTTTGGACATCGTTGTCCGATACACTCTGAATATCACCTACATGTGTTCACTTGTTTTGTTTGGGAAACCAATAAATGTAGCAAAGGTGATATTTATTGAAAGCAATTATTTCTTTATGTGGGATTTTTTTTTCCACACTCTTTAAACACAATAAAATTAAAAGATTAGTTTCTCCATTTTTTTACATTATTGTGTTATATTCATTGTAAGTCTTTCATACACTCTCAACCACATGAGTCAATAAGTATATATTATTTTTTTTGCATAGATTATCGTAACTTAAAATGAGATTCTTTGCAATTGTTACTTCACAATAAATATGTGCAGTTGTTACTGCACATATCGCAGTAACAACTGCGCAACTGGGATTTTTCCACTTAAATCCCAGTTCATAGTGTGAACAACTGAATGTCTTTCAGTTTTCATGTAATGTACATTACATGTACATTAATTACATATAATGTAATTAATGTACATTACATGTACATTAATTACATTAATGTACATGTAATGTAATACATGTACATTAAATACATGTATTAACATGTATTTAATGTATTAACATTAAATACATGTTAATACATTTAACATTAAATACATGTATTAAATACAATACATGTATTTAGTGCTAAATACATGTATTGTTTTCTTTCATTAGCATCAGAGATTATATTCCTTAGTTAAACCTTAATTGTCCCACAAAACGTCTCAGAAGGAGTGAATGAGTCGGGCATCACGAAGCTGAGTTTCATGTCAGAGTAGGGACAGGAGGGGACGATATCGCTCCTGGGTCACCAGCTGTTCCGGCAGTCTGGGACACGTTGGATGTTTCCACCAAGAAGGTTATGGGAAGCTTAGTTAAGATTGTGGCCTGTTTTGCAGATTGTGACAGTTCCTGTGTTAATCAGGGTGTTTTGGCTGATGTTTGACGAAGAAGGCGATACGTTAAGCAGGTGTTTTCACAATTGCTTCCTGTCCACTATCTGTTTTCACCGTGGGTTGTTTTTCCATGTTTCTTCCTCTGAGATGTTTTTTCTTTCTCCTCTGCAGGAAGAAACAGTGATAACAAACAGTTCCTATCAGCTAGAGAAGTTCTTAGTTAAAGGGTAGTTTGGGGGTTTAATTTGGTTTAATGCTTTGTGTGTCTTTCCTTCCACAGCCGCCCGGTTTCCTGCTTTCTACTCCGATGCTTACCGGCTAACGTCGGGTAATGTTCTGCATCCCTGCGAGGGAGACCAGGTGGTCCCTTCGTCCCAGAGAAGAGGCCGCCAGAAAGAGGCCAAACCCCTCCCTCCTTTGCCTGACCCTGAGGACTTTATGTCAGATGAAGCTGCAGACAGTGAGGTCGAATTCTTTACCAGCGACCGCCAGCGCCTCCTGCCCAAAAGCTGCTCAAAGGCGATAACCAGAAGCAGCAACAAAAACTGTGGTCAGGTGAATTTTGCCTACCAGGGGGGCTCACTGGCGATCAGGCCTGCTGGATCCGACTCCATCGCTTTCTCCTGGCCAAGCAGAGAGGACAGACCGCTGGGCAGAGAAAGCAGAATTGCAGCAAACTTTGATCAGTTTGCTCACGAGAAAAGAGACAACCAGCTCGAGGGGTCTTCTGTTGGAGGCAAACTGTCAGACCAAGCGCAGCCGTCCTCCAGAAACCGATTTTCCTGTTCGGGTCTTCCTTCTGATGCCCATACGAGTTGTCCGCCCGTCCTCCCTGAAAAACCTCGAATCCCTCCTCGCATCCCCATCCCGCCCAAACCCTCTGCTTCCTCAAAGCCAGCGAGCGACAACGACGACGAAAACCCCCCCAAGATCCCCCCACGCGTCCCCTTGGTGCCGCCCTGCCCGCCACGCACCCCGAGCCCCAAAAGCCTCCCGATTTACATCAACGGCGTGATGCCCGTCACGCAGAGTTTCGCTGCTAATCCAAATTATGTGAGCAAGACCGTACAGAGGCAGCAGAGTGAAAGGGCTCCGCCAGCGGCACAGTTTTCTCCCTGCATCGTTCCCATTTTGAAGGACGGCAAACAGGCCAGCGCCACACACTACATCCTGCTGCCGCCGGGGCGGCACGCTCACGCCGAGAGGCGGGGAAGGCTCCTGAGCGAGCCCAACAGGACGGGATGTGTGTGGCAGAAAAGATAGACATCCTCCCAACGAGTAAATGCAAAGCAAGTGACTGACATTAGGCATGGGCCAGTAAAACTGTCTTATGGCATAATTTTTAGTTAAAGACAAAAAAATAAAACAGCATCATGGTATTAATAAGGAAAAAAAGGTTTTAAGAGCTTCTTATGGAGAGTATAATACTTTTTTGCCATTCTTTATAGAGTAACAAACTGATTGTGTGCTTTGAATAAATTTAAAAAATACTGATTTGCAACATGTTACAATCAAGGTGTGATGTGGAAAATAACAGCCAAGAATACCAGTTAGGTGTAATTCAGTGCAAACCCACTTAATTTAAAAAGCAGCTTTTGAACTGAAGATGAGAAAAAAAAAAAAGAAAAGAAAAAAAAAGCGGCCTTCGTCCAGTCAGCCGACTGGTCGTGCATATCAACAAGCAGCAGGAGAACATGACCCGTCCAGTATTTCTCTTCATTCTCATTAAAAGGACTTTAAGCCACAGGAACGGTGCGACAGAAACTTCTAGCGTTAGCGGTTTTAAACCAAGCTACACCTTGATACCAGCACTGACCCATGCCTAACCCACATTGTTGTTGTGTACATGATACACTGCTGTATGTATGTTATCCGTCACTCGTTTATTTTATTTTGTGTGGTTTTATTATCTGTGGTTTCACTGTGATTTGTTTTTGACTGAATTTCCTACCGGTCAGTATTTCTAAGAGACATTTTTACTGTTCAACCCTACAACAATAAAGTACGGCACTCAGTATTTCTCTAGCAGTGGAGGAAACACACTTACCTCATTTAACATTTTTCACTGAGAAGTATTTCTCAATTAATTACAAAGTCATCTGGGTTTTGTTGTTGTTGTTGTTTTAGTTAGTTTAGTTTAAATAAACAAAACTCGTAGTTATTACCCACATATTGATATATTTCTGTTGTTTCTGTTCATGATTAGAGGTTTTAATTAACTAAGCCAGAATGATCAAAATAATAAAAAGAAAACATTTCAAATATATCACTGTGTGTAACGACGGTTAGATTACCTTTTTTAAACTGATATTCTACTTTATTGAGATATACTGTCCTGCAGTTTTTTTAAAATGTGTAATTACTGAGTAGTGCTTATTGGAAAGTTGTGCTAATGTCAGTAAAACCATCCTGAACCAATACGGTTTTCCTTAAAAGAGAGCACATAATTAAAGGTACAAGCTGGGCTTGTGCCTTTGTTCTGATTGCACAAGTTGTTGTTTTATACTCACAGATGTAATATTTTCATATCATTTTAAACATTTGGACTGATGCTAAGTGTGACAGTGAAGGGTATGTTTGGTGAACACATCCCATTATCAGAAGAGACCTTAAAGTGTTTTCTTTCATAATTTTCAGGTTTTGATTTGATCAATTTGCCCATTTCAAATTTTCAGCTTTTTGAATTTTTGTCGCACACATTCCAACTAGAACGTATTATATTAAAAGACATAATTAGACATCTGAATACATAAACCCACACCTAAAGTTCAAATGAAATATAATCAAGGAATCGCTTCACTTAGTTTTTTTTTTTTATATATCCTAATCCCCTTTAGGTCTTCTGCCTATTATTTAATTTTTCCAGACAAAGGAGGCCTACTTAGCTCAAATCAGATTTCACATTTATGATAATTTATTCCCACATGTACATTTTTTGTCAGCATTGGTTCAATTGGCATGGTAACTGTCCATGTTGGATTTATTTTTACAGAGATTTGTGGATGAAATCCAGTTACGTTTACACTGCTGAAGTTCAGACTCATGTTTACAACCTTTGTTACACCGACTTCATGAAGTTCTTATAAAGGTTCAACATGGATTCAGGCCCTTGAAAGGCTGCAGATTGTAATATTGTTTTATGGTCTATTTAATGAAATAAATAACTTATTCATTGTGTAACTTATTTCTTGATCCTTTCTACCAGATGCCAATAAAATAGGGGCTTTGAATGTCTTTTTTTGTGAGGGGATGGGGGGTATGTGTGAGCAAAAACATGAAGTCCTGCCTACAGACTGATCTGCATAATGTCCACTTTGTAAAGTGTCTTAAGTTTAACGCTTCAACAATCTTTTGGGCAGCAGCTTGGAATACCTTGGAAAGAAAGGAAAACATTCAAAACGGGAGTTCTCAGAAAGATTTTAATGGATCCAAACAGGGAAAATGAGGTCTACTGTTTGACATTTTCCTCTAATTTTATAACAGCGCCTTCTGTTAGAAATCTTAATGACTGATCGCAGATCATCTTGTCCTTGCTTGGTCTTGCCTTAGAGTTCAGCTGCTTTCCTATCAAATCAAAACTACAGGATATCATGGTGATTCAGCAGATTAAAAAAAACAAATATTAAAGTAACCATTTAGGCTCACAGACAGTTTTCTTGCATTTCTGCGCCGACTTCCGAATTTACTATAACTTTCCATTAGGGCTGCTGAAGTATACACCATATGTAAAGTTTTTTTTTTAATATAATAAACTATATTTAAGCACCTAACTTTGACAAACATAATTTAATAAACCCAACTCTGTTAAATTCATTTGTAATTAGTTATGTGTTCAACATTTAATTAAAGTGATGTGGGGAGGAAAAAAACGGTTCTATTATGGATGTGTCATTTCTTCTTTTTGCAAAATAAGTTAAAAAAAAACAACAAAACAAAAAAAAAATCAAACACATAAAACCTTATTCTACCCCTTTGTTTCACCCCCCCCCTCCCCACCGTCCCCTGCAGTTCCTTAAGGGCCTTATTGAACTTTGGCCTGTGTGTTTCCCTACAGGCACGGCCTCAGCAGTCTCGTCTCATCTCGTCGGAGCGAGGTCCGTCGTGCAGCCGCAGGGCTCTCTGGTGCAGGACTCGATGACATGGCGTTTATCGCCAGGCCCGGTTAAGCAGTTTGACTTCTGCCAGGCGTTTGCTGATCATGGTGGCAAAGAAAAGGGCAAAGAGGACGCTGCTGATGAGCATGTAGTCGTAGTCGTCTTTTAGGACGTCGAATTGCTTGGAGGGATACACACGGGTCTGGTAGATGTCGAGACCGTAGGCCACCACCTGCAAAGAAAAAACGTGCAAAAAGAATAAAATATGCAGTCCTTTATGGTATCGGTTTTATTGTCATCGACTAAAACGTGGTAAAAAACGCCCCTAAAACAAAGAATTAAGAGAGGCACGACTAAACATTTTTTAAATTATTGGAGGGAAGGATGAAGAAACCAGTTCAGTCAGGAACAACTATGGTAGGATCAGTTTTGACTTGATGTTTGTGCGAGAGTCTAATAGCTTCTGTGGCAAAGAAAATGGACGCCATCCCAGTATGTGACCAGGCTGGTGACCAGTATGAAGAGGAGGGGCCTGTCTGCTGTATACAGTTTTATTTCCCTCTCACAACTGAAATGCCTAAAAAAAGTTGAGTCTTTGTTTTCCCCCCAGACTTCAGTCATCTAGTCCAATTAATGCCACCAAATAAGAGTCAATAGCAGAACAATCTGTTTGGTTTCAACATGCAGGATTTAAAAAGATTTTCTAGCGAGAAACCCACTCAAAAAAAAAAAACACTAAATAAACACGCTTTCAAAAAAAATGCATCAAATGTGTTGCAAAAAAACCATCATTACCACACAGAAAGAATCAGCCAAACTAAAATATTTGTACTTTTCCAATTGCGCAGCATTATGACACAACCTTGCCTATAAGCATTAAGCCGCCTAAACTTCCAAACACATCATTAAAATCTCTTTAGTTACGGTTTATTCTGGCTGTTTTACAGACCTACAAAATATACTACAGACATTTTTTTTTTCCTAAAAAAAAAAATGTCTGTAGCATCATGTCTCACTCCATAGAAGGCTTGTGTTACCTTACCTAATAGACACGTTCTTTTAAATAAGACATACTGGGAATTAGAAGATACTGCAAGTTGTTTGGCAACTTAAGGTTCAGAGAAGGTTTGTTTTTTGTTTTTTTTTTTGCTTTAACACAGCCTTTGTCATTTTTATTTCACCTTTTATAATGTAATATTCGACTCACCAAGCAGGTTGACTCCAGTCCAGACGGGGCCGTGTGAATTCCTCGCACTCTTCCCACGGTCTGATTGTAGTTGATGAACCACTCGGTGCGGATGATCAGCTCCGGTGCGTACGGTATCAGGTTTTCCTCCCTGGAAATCGAGTCGTAATTAGCTTCACGTAAGGGAACAGTCGGTGCCTCGGGAAACCTGCTGAACTTCAACATTTATGTGTCAGACCAACACAAAGTTGTGAATGATTGTAAATTGGGAGGAAAACCGTGATTGTATTCATCCTCCGCCGCAGATTCGTACTCAAAGACATTTTGAGAATGTGCACCACAAAGCACTACTTTGTGTATGTCACATTAAATGTATTGAACTGCATGGATAAAATGTGACAAAATGTAAATAAAAAAAAATGACCACTTTCGCAAAGCAGCTCACTGTTTTACAGTGAGCTGATTTACAGTGAGCTGTAAAACAGTGAGCTGTGTCTAGACTTACCGACTCTGCTCAGATATTATTTCAGGCCTGCGTGGGTCGAGGAACATCTTTGGTAATGACAGAATCCCCCCAGATGGCAGACCAACTGTGGCAAATGGAGGGGCGGGGAGGGGAAATGTTTCAGAAGTGTTTAATATTGTGGTTTTACTCACCAAGACTAAATTTGGAGATGGATGGAAAAGAATCATTTTTGAAACGTACTGAGCAGATGGCGGCTGGTGATGCCTTTCTCAGTCAGAGTGGCCTCCATGGTGGAGATGGAAGACGGGAAAATGTAAGACTGCTGGAGCACCTGAGGGGCGTGAGGTCGATCCAGCGAGCTGAAGACGGTGCTGTTGTAAAGCTCCATTCCTTCGTAAAGTTCGATGACAGAGAACTCGTTCCGCCGAGACTTCGTGCTCCAGTATTCGTACTGTGACATTTGACAGACAAGGGGAGACGTGAGTAACGTTACATTAGTTACGCGATGGACCAAAACTGACACTTCTGCAGCTTCATATGTGCAAAACGAAGGACGAGGAAATCCATCCTGGCTTACCACAACCCAGTTTTCAGAGTGGACAACGTGAACGGGTCCTCTGGCTTTCCTCTGAACAGCTTCGTGGATGATGCGACCGGTCACGCCGTCGATGAGCAGGATCCCGATGAAGCTGCGCTCCTGATGCACGTCTGTGCTCTCCGTCACCACAGCCAGCAGATTTGGGTTCAGGTACTATTAACAGAAAGTTTAAAAAAACAAAACAAAAAAAAAGGATAACATTTTGCATTGAATACTTTGAACTGCATAAAGGAAAAATATGCTCCAAAGCAATTAAACTATTAATTAGAAGATAATGTATGTATAAATAAGACCTAAATTTACATTAGTTGACCTCACGATAAAAGACAACTCTTATGAATCCTCCCAAACCTTTTCATATAAAAATTTTATATTTTTCCCATACTCTAATTTCCACATGTCTCTTCCAATGTTTTAAATATAAACTGAGCAATTTCCAGTGTAAATTTGAGTAGGGATTATAAAACAAAAAAAAAAGTGGAAAAGAGTTGGAAAATTATTAAATCAAATTCCAGACTAGGTAGGATGTGCACAGATTATATTAATATTATTAGTAATATTGAGTGGGAACTCAGATTTTTACTCTACTTTATTACAAGATGTTACAAACAGTTGTTTTTATTCACACTGGTAAAAAGAAATGCAATTTTATCTATTTTAGAACTCGTTCAAATTGCAATTAAATCATGTAGAAAATGTTATTGTACCTTATAGAGCACACTGCGGTCTCCCATCACCCTGCCTTGTGAGTGCACATGCTCATTCGGCCTCTTCCCCTTAACAGAGACAATCTTCTGTACTTCTGTTGGAACGACGACCTCCCAGACCTGCTCAGTCGACAAGTCCTGAGAGCAGAAAAATAACCGCGGTTAAGCTTTCACCGATTACTGGAGCATTATTTCAGAATGCAACACAATGTGAAAAGAAGAACTTGCCGTTCTCAGTCTGTAGCCAGAGAGTCTTCCCTGACTGGAGTCGACGAGGAAGAAGAAGATGGATGAAGCCGTCTCCTGGAGCTGCTGCAGGACGTTCTTGGTTGAGGGAAAGGCAGAAACCTGGAGTGGAAAGAACAGACAATTAACAACAGGTGGGAAATGGCTTTAATCAAAATGTTGCGATTCTAAACTCAAGATGCAGTGACTGTAATCTTGTGGACGACAATCTGAGGTGTTGATCTGACCTTGTACTGGTCATCGACGAGAAGCAGGACCTTGGCATAATCCTGGTCCATAAGTGGGAGAAGGAGTGACTGGAGTATTGGCTGAGGTAGGGCAGGTGGCATGACCTGACTTTTCCTTCCAAACATGGGGTTAAACACATGAAGTGTGGCCAGACCCGTGTCCTGTGACCCAAAAGAGCCCCGACAAAAAAAAAAAAAAACTGTATGAAACAGACTAGAAATCACTCGTTGTGCCAGACGTTTGTAACTTAAAGAGACTTTGAACAAGAAAAGAGAAGATACTGACACTGACTAATGAACTTTTTCAACACAAGTGCCAATGTTTCATTAGATACCTTGTCTTTGATGAGCAGTGTGCACTGTGGAGGGTGAGGGAAGTGAGCAGTGGTCCGCTGAACCATTAATTTAAAAGCAGCATTCTTCGGGACGTTGTTGAGATAATGCTTCCACAAAATTCCACCCGTCTTGCTGTCGATGCCAAACAGCTTAAAAGGAACAGAAAAACCAGATGAAAGCTCTGGTTTGTTTATATGTAAGCCTGCCTGAACTTAGACTGTACAGATAACCGTGCACAGTAAAACAGCAAGCAAAAAAAATACTAACAAACAAAGGTGAATATTAGAAGGTGAGGTTTTAGTCTCTCCACTTTTACCTTTCCAGACGATGTAACCATAACCATCATCTTCTGCAAGTTGAACTCGTCTCTCGACAGGTTCTCAATGGAGACTTCATTTTTGACTTGACTGCGGGGCTTCCGGGCGTCGTAGAACAGCTTCCAGAGGTGGGCGATCCAGGCCTGCAGCATGATGAGCTGAGAGGAGAGCCTCTTCAACACCATCGACAGCAACCCATCTGGAGAAATCAGAACAAGAACAAACATATTCTGTAAAGATGTACTGTAAGTGTCAAGAGCCATTGTTCACATATTTTAACTAAATTAAAATCAACAAGACAAAACTGTCGTCTTGGAGAGTAGGAACGACTAAACAAAAGAGACACAAGAAACACTTAGAAATCAGCTGACTTGGTGGCTGGAAGCTTAAAAATCTAATATTTTTTCCAATCAGTGAACACGCCATGTTGTTAAGAGCTACCAGGTCATAATTGACAGCAACCAGCTTTGGTGTGGATGCTTTAACTCAGTGGAAAAGGTTCCAAATTAGTACTTTTCAGACTAGTTGGGTGAAAAGTACAGAGATCACACTGTGGTGTAAGAAAAAGATAACTATGTTCTAGAACAAGCTGATTCATTAAAGAGCAAGAGACATTTTCAGAAGAGAACAGGAAGGCTAGTCAGAATATGGCACAGCTGGCAGCTCTTATGAAGATTCAGATTTGGGTAAGAAACTACATTGTGTTGGAAATACACACCAATGCTGCATTGTTGGCGATGATAGCCGTGCTGACGACTAAAACTAAAGGTGAAAGACGGCTTAAAATGTCAACTGATCATTTTATTTTTGTTCTTAAGCTTTTGTAAAGCATTTCAGCAACTGTTAATACAGATAAATGACATGGCGTAATCTCTGATCATGTTATAACTGATCACCCTTTCCGTTCTTAAAGGGATAGGCACGGTAAAGCCCTACCAGAGATTTAAAAATCGGTCACAAAAATAAAATAAAATGAAATAAAATAAAAATTTCCATCTCCATCACAGTAAATGCAGAAGAGAATTAGCTTTTTTAACACAACATTATTTAATACCTAACATTTTCAGAGACGGTCAAGAAACGTTACAAAGAAAGAGACGTGTTACCTTGAATGGCTGAATCCACACGCAGCAAGAAAGACAGAATAAAACAAGAGCAAAAATAATAAACCAACCTGGTGAGTCACAACCACAAGCTATTTAAGAGCTACTTGTTAGAAATGGACACCAGCCAACGTGGAGGAAAAAACATAAATAAATAAAATAAAAGACTTTGCTGGTGGTGAGGTGTAAACAGGATGAATGTCAAAGCATTTACCGGCTTTTTTGCCGAACTCGCCCTCGAGCTCGGCTTGTGTCCCGGTGAGGGGAAGATCCACCATTTCCATTGTCACCACGTCTGACAAGGCTTCCTCTCTGGTCCACATCACACGGCCTGGAAAACAAGACTCATTAGTCGTCTGCAGTCACTCATTCTACCTTCCACACCCTGTGAAAGTCCACAGGGTTCAGAGTTTTCCAACAACATGGTAATTTCTTTTTCCCCTTGTGGAAAAGGTCAGAGCTATTTACACACTGGGGATGTGTGGGTCTGGCATTATTTATCATGATTAAAAGGCAGAAAATACCTTTAGCGTCATCATGACGCAAAGCATGGCTCACTACTTACTTTTGTGTTTCAGAAGGATAGAACACCTACCAACTCTTAAAAACCCAAATACTGCCATTGCACCAGAATAAGATTCTTACAAAAGCAAATATATTTAACCATAGTCTAGTTCTAAGAACTGATCTGGTTTCTTTTAACTAAGCAAATGCATGATAAAAATAAACGTTATTTACAAAATAGAAATAGAAAATGCAGTTACTATGAACACTGAATTCATTCACGAGTAAGACTCTTCCTGGGAAGAGAATGACAGTGGGAGGAGGCAAAAATGCTTCAGTACAGTGTGTGATCCTGACTTTTTTTATCTCTATTCAAGCTTCACACAATAAAAACATTCTTTGTTCATTGTTCAAGTCGACCTTCTGCCTCACAGCTAGGAGCTTGTCGGTTCAAATCCCGGCTGTGGCCTTAATTTTTTGGGAGTTTGGACTTTTTTTCTGTATACATTGACAGGTACCGCTTTTCCCTGCTGTACAAAAACATGCACGTGGGGTTAAATGGTTGCTTTAAATTGCTCACGAATGCAAGCGGCACTCCCTGTTTTGGCTCCGCAATCGATGTGTGGACCCACCTCTCACCAGATGGCTGCTGGGATAGACTTCACTGAAACCTTTAACAGGATTAGGCTTCCTCATCAAAAACTTTGTTCAAACAGTGGGATAATTTTTTTTTTATTTTTGTTGCAGACACTTTCTCTTTTAAAAACAAGATGCATGGTCCCTATTTGAAATTTTAGCTGGACTAGAGTTGGGGAATGTCAGACCAGAGCTACAACAGTTTTTTAGGAGCAAAGTACCCATTTCATTTATAACTGAAACGGCTAATTATCGAACACTTTATAAAGGTATGAACATTTTGTATGACCTTTAAATGTTTTTATTGATAAATATGCTAAATCTGTTTTAATGATTTCTATTGTTGGACCCAGGAAGAGGGGGTGTGAAGCCCAGCTAATGGGGATCCTAAACAATGAACAATAAACAATATTATTCACTGCTGATGAAACAGTCGGGTTGCGTTGTGAGGGCATCTCTACACTGGTTTACACCCTGATTCAAGAGGAAATTAACTCTTAATTTACCTCAACATCCTCATTTTAAAAGAGCTGCTGACTTTATTTGCATTATAACAGGGGAAGTAGGGTTGCCACCCGTCCCGTAAAATACAGAACCGTCCCATATTTGGCTGTTAATTGTAGCGTCCCGTATTGAACCGATACAGGACGCAATTTGTTCCGTATTCTACAAATGTGTATGTATAATAATAAAGATGTGGTCCCTGAGTACTTTATATAGTAGGCTGCTCCAGTCATTGCTTCACTCACGGTGTTGGTGTTGCGATATTGTGCCAAACTGCTTTCTGGGTAACACAGAACAACCGACACGCTGCAGCCGCAGCCCTCCCCCCCTTACACATATAGGGACTTGTCCCTTATTTTAATTTCTGAAAGGTGGCAACCCTGAGGGGAAATCATGATAAAACAGAGAATCAGGCAGGTTTGCACTACAAAACAATAGTTGGAACAGTTTGTACGATTGAAACAGCAAATACTGGAGGCTGATGGAGCCCACTTTGCTTGCTTCACCGTACCTGGTTGTTGAATGAAAGTCAGTGCGTGGTCTTCTGTCTGCACCATGACCCTGTAGCCGACCGAGTCGTCCTTCTTCAGGAATGCTTGGACATGCAGCTGCAGGGCAGAATTTAAATGAGTACCTTTATTAAAAGATTCTTTAAATTCCAAAACATGGCAAACTAATGGTTGGATTATAGTAAGACTATTGCTGCTTTGTGAAACAAAGAAAACAGCAAGTTTCACCCTCTCGGGTTTTCCTCCGTTAGGATCCACAGTGAAGATCAGAGTTGTGTCAAGAAGTCTGCGCCCGGTGTCTGCACTATAGAGGTTGATACTGCAAGCCTGTGGAGAAGTAATAGATAATCACTTACTTTTATTATTAATTTGAGAAAAAAAGACTTTAATATAATAATTTTTCGTGCATTATTTATTGTAATTTATTTATAATAAATACCCAGATTGAGTTGAGAGAGCAATACTATATGAACTTACTGTCTTATTCTTGGGTGACATAACAGCTGCGACCGTCTTCTCTCCAGTGGTAGCAAACGAAGCCAGCAGTGCCTATAAATTAAGAAAAATGTGTCACTAACTATTTCACTCACCAATTACTAATTTGTATGCTTTATCTTATACAACCCTGTCAAGATAAAAGAAAAAGAATAATACATTTCAGGATAAAATTTGATGGAATTCTTAATGTGCAAGAATCACAGTCAAGAAAACCTAAAAGTCACTCAAGCCATCCTGATCAACTGGGCTTTCGACCAAAGTTGCCTTGGGCTGCAATTGAGCTAACAGAATCTGGGATAAATCTTCCAAAAAATGAAATATGAAGAAACAATTACATACAGGCTTGAAATCTCTCAGTGTGACTATCTGCCCGTTGTTCAGCTGCAGAAGCAAATAACGTTCGGGCCCAAGCTGAAGGAAGAACTCTGATAATGGCTTTTGGGCAGGGTTGGGCTGGTGTGAGACAAGCGACGGATGAAAGTCTGGGTCCACTTCAAGTCCAAGTGACTGCGATGTGACAAGCGATACAAAAGTTAGGGAGAAGGGGGAAAAAAAAGCATTCATATAGACAATAAATACAGACTGAAGAAGGGAGGCAAAAATATTTCATAGAAAGAGTTTTGTTTTGGTTTACTTGATACCTGCAGGGGGATCTGAGTCATCTGTAGCTGTTGGTGTAAGTCGAGTGTATTTAGGGACATTGTTGTTGAGTCTACACACATCAACATCCCCTGACCAACCACTGCACAGCTGGCTGGTATGTTGGACAGCCATGGAGCTTCAACTGAGACCTGGAACAATCCCAAACCAAAAAAAAAAAGGAACAAATTGGAGTTCAGGTTTTCTGTCATAGCGACATCTACTTGGCAGACATTCAAACTTTAATCAATAAGAGGTTACCTGCTTGATTATCTCGCCATCTTCCATGCTATAAACAACAATAGTGATATGGGAATGGGGAACAATTCCCAAAACAAATACTTGACCATTTCCTCCCGAATACACAGTTTGATAATCCACAGTTTCACTGCAATGAAAAACAAAAAGACATAAAATTAATAATACAGCTCATATTGCTGATATAATTAAAAAATAGCATGAAAATAGAATGTTTTACCTTTCTGGCAAGTTCTCTACCCATTTTTGATGCCCATTGGATAAATAATGGACAGAGATGACAGTTTTCTTCAAAACAGCGACATGTTTGACTGTTCCTTGTTGCCCCACTAAACATGCTGATCGAAAACTAAAAACAACAACCAAAAAAAAAAAAACAGTTAGGGTTTAATCCACGTGAACCATATGACATGTCACAACTGCAAACCATGAAGGTCTTCACCTGCCAGTGTCCAGCAACATCTCCCAGTTTAAACCACCAACGTTGATGTCCCAGGAGCGCAACATGCGCCCATTTCCAACCACTAGTACCGCATCTAAGCACACAAAATAAGTTGTATCAACAGTGAATATGCTAACATAAGCACAGAACTGAATAAACGCTTAAGAAATAAAAACCTTGTGCATGGTGCAGAAGGGCATCGATGTTTCCCTCTGGACCAGTTTTGTCCACATGTCGCCAAACTGTATCAGACATGGATAGGGGAGTGTGTTGTGCTTAACACCAAAACGATGAGAATATATGACAGATAACAGGTGTGTCTGTTTAAGGCTTCAAAAAATACTTACAAAGCTCTCCTGTCCTGGAATTTAGCGCTGCAAAAACATTACTCTCTGTTGCTACAAGGACTTTTTTGGAGGACTGCAATTGTGTGTCGAAATGAGAAAAACGAACTTTGCCTACATATTGCTGTCTCCTGTGAATCAAGAAATAAATAAAAAAGAATGTATTATTAATTTTTCTAACTATTATTATCAATTTTCAACAGAATAACTATTGTTACGACTAACAGTGGCATGAATAACTTGTAATTAATTTAGTTATAATGATTCTATGTTTAAAAATCAACCTACTTTTCTTTAACTAAATGTGCTTACGTGGCTCATTGTTTCCAAATATTATTTATAAACCTGCCGTTCTAAAAAAAAGATCGTTATGATAGTTTTTTTTTCTTTTAAAATGTCCTCTCCTGAAAATGCTCACTGAATACACCGAGTCGAAGCTAATGGCTTTGACAGGTGTTAGCATTAGCATCTTCAAATTGTGAGAAAAGATACCTTAGAAAGACGTTATTTTTTATGGCCCATTGGGCTGTTCTTACCAGTCAAATTTTCCTACTTGATCCTCAAATACAGCATGAACAACAAAGAATAAAATACATAATTTCAGCAACAACAAAATTAGCTTTGCCATTGCAGCAGCTTTGACCAGCTCAACGGAAGGAGGAAGTCGGAAGTGGTCAGACTCACTATTTGTCTGCTAAAACGGAAGTGCTGCCACCAACAGGTCAAGAAGTACACAGCATAACCGCTTTGCTTGATTCATAGACATGACAACTTGAGGTTCAAACTCAAACTCTATTGAAAGCCAAAAGTCCAACACTGAAATAAATAGATAACTTGTAAAATAAATAAATAGGTCCTCCATAGGCCACATCTCCAGTCAATCACACCAATCACAACCAGCAAGTCAAAATACGAAGTGGCAAACATTTGAACAAAGAAAACTTAATATAAGAATCATCTGAATTTTGTACCTTAAGAATATTTAGTTAAGCATACAAATATTTATAATTTTCCATTGTATGTGATATTTCTTTCCAATAATCAAAAGAGGAAAAGTCACATTCAGTCATCCAGCTGTACCGCTAGATACAATGACTACATTTAGTAGAATTTGGAAACATAAGCAAAGCAAGCATTGTTGATTCGATGGAAACAAAAATGAAAGCATTTCAGAAAGTATACAACAATCCAAACAAAAACTGGTCTTTGGATTTGCAAACAGGTGAGTGTGTTCTTACTGCTGAAAATGTTTTTGCAATAAGAATAAAAAAAAATATGCAATGTGTGCCACTAATACAATAAATAAATAATTTGCTACAGAAAAAAAATGGAGGTGTCCAAACATACAATAAATGCTCAAACAATTTATAAACCTTTTCATTTTTTTTCATACAGTAAATTATTGAAACATTCCTATAACAATGGAAGGAATTATTTATTTTATTTTTTATTTTATGAAGGCGCTTCTAATCTTATTTATATGATCACAAGCATACAAATGCATTTAGCTACTCATGGATGCAGTGATGTGTGCCATTTTTAAATGCATACAGGCACTACAAAGACATAAATCAAGCAAGATCAAATTACAACACAAAACCAGCAAAGATAATTGTATCAATACATAAATAAAAGTTATGGGCATTAATTTTTGTACAAGACACAAAGTTGAACCGAAAAGAAATATAATATAAACACATCAAATAACGCATATTTGATGTAATTTTGAGCGACGGAGCGCCCCCTGTGATTTACCTTCACAGCCTCTTCCTCAGCAGTTAGTTTTTTCTATGGGATTTCAAGATGGCGTCGAGCGGAGGAGAGGGGGAGCACGAATGGACAGCGGCAGTGCGACCGCTTTTATCAGCTTCATACACCGCTTTTGAAACAAAGGAGCTACCTCAGCTTATTGGCTCTATAATTAACAGGTAACCGGTTACATGTCAGTGTGTTGCTTGTCTCTGTTATCACCAAACCGCCCGTGTTCATCCCGGACATAGCCTCAGCTTAACTTGCACTGGTATCGAGTTGGTCTCCAACTGAAGCCAACATGCTAGCATTTCCTAACTTGTTTAAAATGGGTTTAGCTTGCACCGTCAGATACGTTGCTGGCAAATTGAGACGCCTGCCTTTCAAAGGTGTTAACGTCCCTTTTAACATACCACTGTTGTTCAGTAAACGCTAAAGAATGCCGCAGTGTAGCGCTTTTAAAATATGCTTCATCATTAGCTAGCTAACCGTGGGCCTTCAACTCTGCACTCTTAACGTAACGTAGAAACGCTGCTGTCAGAGTAATATTGGACCATGTCAGCTGAAGTAACCAAGTTGAACCAGATTGGGGTTTGAAGCCGAACTTGTCTGGTACGGTCAAACGCAGATATGGCAACTATTAGCTAAACTGTTAAAGGTTGAGAATTTGGTCTGCAGTGTTTCTGTTTTGACTAAAAGTAGGCGGGGACAGCTTTTCTCGGCTAGTTTTGCTTCTTCAGGTGACTTGCTTTAGGCATATTGTTGGTAAAAGCATTAGCTTGACTATTTAACGTCAACGGGATCACCGCTAAGGGAGTGTCAAGTCAGTACCGCTGAAGCCAGGCTGTCACCTGAAACCCCGAGAGAGTTTTAACCTGGAGCGATGCACCCCGGGACTTTGAAGTGAAGAGTTTCATTTTCCTCAGAAACAAATCGTCAATACGTGCCGTCACTTCTGCAGCAGGGCCTGAAAGTTTCTTATCAAAGCTTCATTAACACTTTTCTGTAGTTGGTGTCTTCTGCTCTTTGAGCCTGTTTGTTTTTCAAGGCCCCCAAGCAGGCACAAAAAACGTACTAAAAATCCAAGTTATGAGAGTATTGATGTAAAAGGAAACAGTCGTTGTTTAATCCGTTGTCTCCTTTAATGATTCACTTGACAGCTTTTTGGGACTCAATGTAACATATCCTCAAAGAATACTCCTGTATTATGTTTCTGCAGTCTTTGTGTAAATATTTCATTTGACTGAATACTTTTGCTGCTGATGCTGTTCATGTATCAGAAGTTAATGTTTGAAGAAGATGGCTGTTTACTTTTTCTAGGAATTGACCAAAACTGTGAAGGTAACAAGATGGCAAAGTGACAAAATAACCAGCAGTCATAAACACTTTTACTATGTGAATGTGATTTCAGTTTATTGACACTTAAGTAATTCGTCTAAGCGTAATTTTCTTGCAGCCATAGATTTCACTCAGTTGTCTTGTGTAAAATATCTGAACTGTTGCAATTTTTGGAGTTAAAATCAACCCACTTCCACCGCACTTGAGCGGCCCGTTCTCATTATTTTCCCATTACAGAGAAGGCCTACATGAACAGTCATATTTGTAGATAAATTGGGCTTACCAATTGAAAGTTCCTAAAACTCATGAAAAGGAATATTACACTTAAGCAATATATCAGTGGCTTTTATTTATTTACATTTTTAGAAATTGAGAGAGGTGGTACCAATGATTAACTGTTACTTAATAGTTAAAATAATTAAAGATTTATTTATTTTACATTTTACCACAAAGTTATATCAAAATAATAATAATAAAAAAATTGAAGCTCAGAAGCTTATAAAACTTTAATGTTGCTTGGTCCAAGAGCTAGAAGCAACATGGTTTTGGCTAAATCTAATCCTCCACACACACAATTGTTTTTTGATGCAATAAATAAACAACCAATTTAATACAACATTACAGTTAAAGTTGGTGTAGGTGTTAAATTATTTTGTCTAATAGAGGCTGTGTGGGTTGAAGAGGACTGCCTAACTACAAACACTATGATATTTGGACTGAGTTTTACATCTGAGTAATATATGTAACATGACAGTATGTGACTACATTCAGCCTGCAAAAAAAAATTGGAAATATTTTGTGGTCACAGTATTGCTGTACACAATATACATACTGCAAAGAACTTTTAATCAAGTACCAAGTATTTATGGTACCTATGCCTACAATGCATTTTGTGACATTTGTTGTTTAAAGCAGTTTAGTTTTAAAATGTTATTAAGAAACTAAAGCTGAGTTGTTTCATTGCCAAAACAGGAAATGTCGGCCTAACGCAACTTTTCCTGTAAAATCTTCATTAGATGAAAATATTTAACTTGAATTCTTTTTCCAGTAGCTGGATAAACTACTAATTATCTGGGGTCTGCTTGAACTCAAAACAGAAATACACTTTTTAATTATTTGTTGTATTATATAATTACTGCGACATTGACCAAAATTATTGCATATCTTCCTTGCATTGTGCAGCCCTTGCCTTCGTGATCATTTGTTATTGACTGTTTATATATTTGTTCAAACATGAACGACGACGCAGATAATCAGTTTTTTTAGCAGTAGCATTATATTCTCCATTTTGTGGAGTAACAAGCTTCAAACCAGAAAGTTTATGAAAAAATATTCCTCAACCTGAGCTGCTGAAAACACCGAGGAGGTTTCTGCATCCTTAGTGCAACTTTGTAGTTCTGAATTTTGTTTGGAATGAATATATATATGTGTATTTTTTTGCTGTATCACATTTCATGAAAACATCAAAACAAAAAGTATTTTTTTTTTTTTTTTTTACAGTTTTTTTGAGGGCATTACATTCATGACTGCAAATTTACGCTAAAATTAGGGAAGACGCTGTAAATTTCCAATCAAATTCCCATCTTGTGGTTTGTTACATGCTGTCCCACCTTTTATTTGCAGTGAATCGGACATTCTTCACCACGACAAACAATATGAGCCTTTCTACTCCTCATTCGTGGCTCTTTCTGCACATTACATCACCACTGTTTGTGGTCAAAGTACGTATACTTAATGTTCTGTTTTGTGTTAGGGATAAGGCGCTGTCATTCTAAATGAATAAATCGAATGAATTTGACTGCGTTTCTGCAATCTTGACTAATTATTTTGTTTTTATTTTCCAGTACCAAGAAACCAGCTGCTGTCGGTGGCTGCAGCGTGCAAAGTACTCATCGAATTTTCATTGCTGCGATTGGAGAATCCAGATGAAGCATGTGCTGTATCACAGGTCAGATTTTTGAAAAAGTGCAGGAAGAAAATGTTATTATTTTCAGACTTCATTCAGTGGTTTGTTATATTGTTCTGAAGAGACAGACTGCTTCTATCTGCCACTTTAATTCTGTATAAATTAACGCTATCCAATTTTTGTTAGCGTATTGCACTTACATTGTATTATTTCTTCTACAGAAACACCTGATTCTTCTAATAAAAGGACTTTGCACTGGCTGCAGCAGGCTGGATCGCACAGAGATCATTACATTTACCGCTATGATGAAGTCTGCCAAGTTGCCTCAAACTATCAAGACCCTCTCGGACGGTGAGTAACCCAGAGCAAACAAAAGTCATTAGAAAACTTTTTTTCTTTTTTTTTTTGAAGAAAATAAGCAAAATCCCAATAGAGAAAAAATGTCTAAATTATTTGTGACTCGTATAAAAGCGTGTCTTCTTTTATTTGTCTAGTGGAAGATCAGAAGGAGTTACCCAGTGTTGTGAGCCCTGAACTTCGACAAAAAGAAGTGCAAATGAACTTCTTTAATCAGTTGACTTCAGTTTTTAACCCGGATCTTACCACCATCTTGGCTTCACCATCAGCAGCGCACATGCAGGTCAGCGTGATCCATTTATGACCGTTAAAGTTAACCAAATTGATATTTAA